CGAATTGCAAATTTAGTTTTTAAGCTAGTCACATGTGCCCTCTACATAATTCGTGTGATGACGGATTCCGATCCAATATCCGCATCCTGGTGAGTATTAATCGATAATTTCCAGAAATTATCGTATTTTGAAATTGTTTAAAATTAATTGAGTCAAATTCTCCCGTGTTCATTAACTGAAACAATTCTGTACTCGGTTTAATTTTGAGTAATGAAATTATTACGAGTAACAATGGGTTCGTTGTGTTTATCTATTAGTAAATTAGTTGTTTGTGTGGACCACGCCAAATAAACCAGAATAGTTTAGGATTTTCGGGAATGATTGTTTTCAAATATTCATTGTGGGTATATTGCATCAATAAATTTTTAATTCTTTGGATTACATATTATATTATTTTTGTAGTAAAATATATTAAAAATTATAAACACGATAAAAACATTAAAAATAAAGTAGCGCTGAACTTGTTTTAAACCACCAGCTGTGGTAATAACTTTCTTCGCGGTTGCTTGTTATTGATTTTCTAAGCCCGAGAACTTTAATATTGAAAATTTATATTAAATTCAATATTTATGAACAGTTTCTGTAGTAAATACGAAATAAACATGAAATCTGCGTTTTACAATTTGTTCACAACAGCAATAAGTTTATTATTTTTTTTTAGTTTTTGCACAACTTTGTCATAAAACTACTTCTAAAAAGGATACGCCCTTAGGGAACGATGAGGCTATCGGTGTTTTATATCCCCTTTTAATGCTTTCTAGCTACGGTTGTACACCGGGGAACAAGACGGAGTACAAGATCTCAGCAAACCTGACCGAGGAGAAGTTTCAAGAAAATCCCATCATCAATTGGGATGCGATTCTGTGGGTGAACCGCCCCCTGGAGCTGTGGATCGTTCAGGTCATATTAGCGATGATAAGCCTGACGGAAGCCCTTCTTCTCGCTTACCTCGGCTATAAGGTAATTCCACAACGACAGGTTATTTGTCATAGCTCGTGTTCTTGTGTTAAAATAAATTAAATTACTTTATACCATCTCAAAAAGATAAAACGATTTTCTCATGTAAATATTAAATGATTTAATTTATAAATTATTAAAGATTTTCTGTTCAATTATACTATGGAATAACACGATATGACACATTCGATTAGTTCTGGGCAATTGTTTCCAACAGAATTCATGTATGCGTACATGTGTACTCATTCTGGGATATGTAATTTTGTGGGTAACTTGAGAAGGGTTACTCCAAATAGACTGTGAATAACACACGACCGCTTTGCTTAAGTGGTTGGAAGTGGAATATTGATTATTTACTAAGCGGCTCTTGAAGTTGCGAAGTTTGCGTAACGTGATTCTACATAAATTTATGCATGAAATATCATTAAAGATGTTTGAAACCAAACCGTTGAGATTAATTCAACAATTTCGATTTAACACCAAAAGTAAAAATGCTAGTAATATGTCTAAAAACCTCTATAATAGTCCTTTGAGAGTTTTCATTCCTAGGAGATCTACTGGATGAGATTTAACAAGCGATTTAGTAGAGGAAATTGAGTCATTTCAAAGAGAGTGGCTGAAGAAGTTCCAGCCGGAATTTAAGAGGACGTTTTAAGTTAAAGCGATAATAGACGGTATTTTCAGTTATAAAGCATTATTTAACCCTGTCGCGAGATATCCGAGAATCGATTTTATGCTTGTCCCCGTTTTACATTTTATTTACCGACGTGTTGTAATACGCTGGTGGTTAATAAAATTTTTCGTTCTGCTTCACCAGGGTCCCATTACGATAAACTTTGCACTTTCAAAATTATCAAGGGAAATATAGAATGTATTGAATTTATAATATGATATTTAATCATGAATCTTAAATTTACGGATAAATGTAAAATTTATAATACGAAATATTTAAGTATTCGATTAAATTAAATAAATTTTAATAATTTTGAGTTATAAAAATTAAGTAGTAATTTCGTTTATTTCATATGATTTACACCCATCGATTTTTAGCAGGAATGGAATGCAACGTAAACTGATTTAAATCGGTGATTTATCGCTTTAAAATTTTCACCACGTGTACAGTTATAGTAGAGGTATGCAAATTGAACCTAACAAAATGTTTGGTCATCAATTTATTTCGTTTACATAAAAACACATAGTAAATCAGTTCAAAAACTGATAATACAAACCCAAATTTAATAACTAACACAAAATATGTGTTTTGAGATACACCTAAAGTAATTATTGAAATAAAACGTCTAGAAAAGAATGTTAATTAGAGATAAACTGTATTAAATTTCAATATAGGAACTAAATCACATATCAAATTTATCTGTTGTCATTATTCAAACGTCATAAATTATGGGTTTATTATAGCGTTGGGAAAGCATTTAGTACTTAAACGATCGCCACTGTGTTATTAACTCATTACGTTTATAACTTCCATTTGTTTTATGTTGCAGCATTAAACGTTAACTGGGGTACTTTATGTACCCCATCCTTAAAATAATTTTTATCCTGTTGTCTTTTTATAAATTGAATTATTCCCTTAATACATTATATATTTTCACATATTCCATTAAAGTATAAGTAAGAAAATATATCATTCTAATGAGCTATACTATTAAAGTTTAACCATGGGGATCGCGACATTTTGTACACAGAATAAAGCTTTGTAACAGAAAGATTTACTTCATAGTGTTTATTCGTATCTGTTTAAAGGCATTCTTTATTTTTGATTGCTCTTCAACAATCATAGGTCTTGAAATTTTGACATTATCAGTTTTATGGAACGGCGCATTACCAATTGAAGAAGGTTTCTCCTCTGAGATAAGACACTCTCATCAACGTAACATACGCAAGGTTTAAGAAGTAATTGTAAATAAACATGCACCAAAAACGAGCTGGAGTAGTTCTTTTATTCTCCATCTCTACCGCGATTCAGTACTTAATAACGGCGACACCGACTTGACCAAAAGCAAGAAGCAGAAACAAATTAAATTAACCGTGTGGCCATGAAAATACCATCATCCTGAGATGTGGATCAAAAACTGTGATTGGTTGAAACAGATCACCGCTGACAAAACATAATATAACTACTTGGCGAGGTCATTAAACCCGAAGTAATGGGTAGAAGTGAGGGACCAAGATTTTCTCCAACACTCCATAGATTGGCAAATAAATCCATAAACTAGATGAATTAAAGAAAGAATTGAAAAAGAACGCAGAACCAAACAAAGAGGCGAACACGAAGAAATTGGAGACAAGAAACCATCATAATTCCTAAGGCATCTTCTAGCTTTAGCTGGTACCGTCATCTCTGACTATGTACTGCTACCTCTGCGGAGTAACCGACTAACGACGTTCATCAACGTTTCAACAATTTGAGTAGCTATTAGAATAGCTAGTGTGTGCCCCATAGCTTGGCAGATAAATCTCAGAGTAATCAGATCTAATCTTTTACCTCAATCGATTGATTGGTAATTTGATGTGTTTTACTGTATGTGTGTCTCTAAATGAGTTAGACTTTCGGCAATGTCGGTGTCACCAGAAACAGTATTTGTTAATACTGTGAAGAACAGCTCATCAAAACACGATTCTCGAGTACGAGATTCCAACTGAGAAGAAGAAACACTAAGGTTCAATCAGAAACAAATTTAATTAAATCAATGTTAATATGCCAAAATTATTTACCTAGTTGTGTGAAATAGATTGTCCGCAAGATGAGTTTCGGTTTCGGAGATGACTAATAATAAACCAGATGATAAATCCAATGACTTCTTGGAAACTCATCCACAGAGGATCAGAAGATAGCTTCCACCAAAAGCACTTTTTGAAACCAATCATGGAATTCCTGAACTGTGGAAACCCTCGGTAACCTAGAACATGTGGTAAAGCATTACATCCACATAACTCGCTACTGGTAGCTAGAAGAATTCGATGTTTGAATCCGCAACGATACGTATCCACCAAAAAAGGAGTTCGAGTTTATGATACGTATGCAGATAGTACGTTCTTCCAAAAGTACTTGGGTATTACCACTGCATAGTGCCCACAAGAAAGGCGAAAAATAGAAACTGTGCTGACAAATATGCTATAGGGCCCCTGCAAAATAACCTCGACACCAAGGCGACGTTAATAATCAATATCGGAAGAAGATAAACCAAAACTGCGATAACAACAAATTTCGGTTTGTATGAATTTCATATATTCCTTGAGCTTTGTTTTGCCATATAAGCCTACCAATACCTAATGGAAGAGATGCTATCGAGACTAGTTTTTACTTACGTATATATCGATGAAATCGTTGTCGCTGCAACTTTGGAAAAAAAGCACTTGTAGTTCAAGATTTAAACGTCTGAGGGTGTATGGAATTCTATTAAATTTTGTTGAATACAGGCTTAATTATTACGTGATAACCTTACAATCTTCACCACGTCATCAAGAATTATCGAAGTCCTATAACAGCAAAAAAATTCTTCGATTCATTCAAGCACTCTACTTATTCCAACAAGTTATATCAAGCACTGCAAAAATTACTATGTTACTACTATGCTACTACCAAGAGCGACCTGGACTTGTTCACTCATCATCTCTCTCTGCTTCGATGAAAATCCACCTGTGACACCTGAATAATCAAAAAGTAGATGAGAGCGTGTTGAAAACGGACAGCAAAACGGCACTTCTACACCTACTACTGGGATTTGAAGTTATCAACAATCATGAATTGGCTTGATTCACAAACTATAAACGTGGGCCTGAAAGTACCATCACTTTGGAATGCGGACTAACAAACTACTGTTCATCATAGACAGGCAAGCACAATAAATTAAAAGAAGAAATAATACGCCGATTGGTACCAACACAGGACTAAAAAACGAGGTGATTATTAAAATACAAGAAAATCGGAGACAGAAAGCCATCAAAATTCAGCGTTACACAGTGATGAATATTTCTTTCAGCCTATGTGTAACAAATTATTGTAATAATCCATTTAGTTAGCTCTGTATAAAATACAATATTCCGATTTAAAATTTTATCTAGATATAAATGATTTTCTGAAAATAAACAATATCGATCTTTTTGCGTACTAATGCATACTGTTTTCCTTCTTAAAATGACCATTACATTAATGCGGAGACAAATTATTCCGAATTTTTACCGGTAAAGTTGATCGTAATTAAATGTTTTTAGGTTAATTAACGTAAAATGAGTAATTTTCAAAACTTCCATGGATCGGCTTTTGTTTGGCTGCTTTGAATATACAGAGTAAACCATCAACCTCTATACTAGAAGCGCGTGAAACTCTCGAAAGTCCGCCAAAGCCATCGGACAATGTTGCAAAAATAATGAAATTTTGAATGAAAAAGAAACTTTTTGGGATATAAAATATGGACAAACCGGATTCAGTAAAATTAAGTAAACCACCATATTACATAAACCACCAAAAAATACTTTTTGGTGGTTTATGGAAGTAAAAAGTCTTCGTAAAACAGACAATACTGAACCTTCATTTACGTCAACATCTTCTGATGAGGTTTGTTGCCAAAAATCCATTTCCTTCGTAATCGTATTGATCTATACGATCAAATTAAAACAAAACAATTAAAAAAGATGGTTTCTACCACAATGAGAAGTAAAGCTGGACTCGTTGTTTACATACCACAAATATTATGTTAACTCTAAAAATTGTTCTCTTTGGACATAAAATTGCAAATTGAAAAGAATCTCAGTCTTCATTTACCATCTTATTGTTAATAGTTTTTGATTTAAATAAGAAGCAGTTTTCGAATAGATGACTCACCCAATACTTTCTCACCGATTTTAACAAAGATAAACCTTCTTCGTGAAGCTTGATTACATCGAGCATTTGTTCTGATGTACATCTCAACCATTTACAGGTTTTTTATGACACAATCTAATTACACGATTATGCTTTAATGTCTTGTCTAAAGTCGGCGTTCTTTTGCAACCACGTAATGATTAACATAATACAACTAAATTCTAATCTGAACTAAATTCTGAATTTTATTGTAAATTTACACGTTGATAACTAATAAATCACAGAAGTTAAATCAACAATAAAGTTCATAAACATTTCAAATGTGAAAAGTGAGAAAGGAAACTATGAACTCATAAATAACTTATACTACTCTACTAAATAACTTAACTATAAGAACTTGAGAGAGGAAACACCGTAACCTTATCGAGCGGGTAACTCCTGAAAAATTGAAATATCGTATCCTACAACTTTGAATTTGTTAAAATATAAAACCGGTCTATTTTGAATCCGGATAGTTCTAAGTCAGACTATGCGAGGCAATCGAAATAAATGCCAATATTTTGAACAATTAGTAATAATTGTGGTTATAAGGTAACTACATATACTATGCAAAGAAACTGTAAATAACTAACTGTTCCACCTATAATCTGCAGTTCACTTTGAAAAACAGATCTACAATTTAATATGAAATACTTATAGAATAGTTATTATTATACGAACCTTTGATAACCTATGTAACTTGTCCATATCTCCATATATTGGTTATGAACAACATGAAATTCATTTTGAGACTCTCATTATTTAGTTTCATTTCTATAATAATAAAACATGATTATTAATTTAATCTATTTATTTCAACCTCAATGGTTCTAGCTGAAAATAATCTTGGTGAAAGATACTTTGTTCCGAATAGATAACGTTACATTTGTTGAAGATAAAGCAAATTAATTCGTAATTGTACTTTCAATTGTCATGGCATTTATTATCACAAATTAAAACTACTGCGAAGGATGCTGATGGCATCTAGGTGTAATTACCAAGACCTTTGCCGTCTCTTAATGGGTACATCATTAATTTTTGTATTTAATATACAGTGTCGTCGTTTCCTTCTTCTTGAAGATTCAGATTGATAGAAAGAATTGCAAAAATTATAGCTGATATTTTTTCCAACTTGTGCTAAATGAGTATTGTAGGTTTTGATGTAAGTTTTGATATTTGAATATAATTTTATCTCTTGTAATATTAAATATGTATATTTATTTTTTACTGGATTCTGGTGTAAGCAGATATACGATCTCGGGAGGTAATGAAAAGATGGTGAATCCACCCTTCAGCCTTCGGGTGTGCCTTTACGGCGACCTGTATCAAAATTGTAAGTCGCTCTATAACATTAGAAAATCTAAATTTTGTTTCCAAGATTAGGAAATTCAAACCGCGTTAAAATCGGTTCAACCATTTTCGAGATAAGGCGAAAATCATTTAAAGATTAATTTTCGCGAAAATATACGGTATACAGAAAAAATAAAATATACCTCGCATTGCTGACACATCAGACAGCATTTTAACCAAATATCCAAATTTTTCATACCCTGGTTTTCGAAAAAAAAAAATTCAACTTGCCGCCAACCTCGAAAATCGGTTTTTTTTTTCATTTAACTCACGATTTTATGAAAACTACGGAGTCAATAAATTTCAAATTCACAAATATAAGGTAGAAATGTTTAATGATGAACCTTACCGCGATTTTTGCATGAGACGGTTCTCGATTTATCAATCTTTAAACTGACTAGAATTGACTTTTCAAGTTATATCGAGAAATATTTATGTTCTTCATATTAACAGTGAAATTGTTAGAATACTTCATATAAGATATTAACAATATTTCCGTCTATAAATCGCTTTTATCGTCCTGCTATTTCCTTTACCTTCAAATTTGCCAACTCTTAAATCGCCCATAAACTCAACATCTGTTCTATAGTTGCAAAAATGAAGTCATATATCAAAATGATTTTCAACATATTATTTTGAACAAGAATACTGGCGATATGGTAAACGTTTATGTTTAAATGGAAAATAACTGTAGCTTGTATTGCGGTCTCATAACGTCCACCCTTGTGTAACAAACCTTAATCCTTACATAATTCGAGTTAGGTTAAGCCGCTTCAATCATATTGGTTGAACGCCCGCATGTCATTTTTAGTATTTACCTACCTACACGTCTTAAACTTATATCCCCTCCTTTTGTGTGTTCTAATTCTATCGATAAAGCCGAGGAATTAATTGGCTTTACATCTTCTTTCATTAAGTGCCCCTTTAGATAAGATAATACCATTTATGTCAAGAACAACAAATTGTTCTCCCCACATTTTTTTTAATTTACCATCTTAATTAACATTAAAATTTTCAATGAGTCATTCATTTATGTTTGTAATGTTGGGAACAATTCCCAGTGGTGCCATAAAAAAATTTTGATTTATAGCCCATCAAGGTAATGTACAATCCTCTCTTGCGTCCTAACGGTGATTATCGAATTCCACGTTACATGCAATACAACGGATCCATACATCTACATTAAAGCAGATATGGAGATTAATGACGAATGTCGGTCGATCTTGGTTCACCGCACCTGGCCGCACAATAAACCGTGAACAAATCATATTTTTCATTCATAATATTCCTCAACTTTTAGAATTTTTTATTACGGATTCTTTAGCGCGTTGAACGATACCACCATACTTTTCAACCTTTTAACGCCCTCGTTAACTTATTTATGCAAAAACACGAAAAAGCTGATTTAAAAATCTGTTTATCCATAAACGTTTATACGATTCGATGTGATTGAACAAATCATACATTCACAGGTTCGCTATTTCCCTCGAGTACTCATGAATAATCTTGTACGTAAACACACACGACACGGTTTCTAGTGTAATGAAATGCGGTCGATCTATATGGTTAGTTTTAGTGTTTACGTACGATACGTTATTCGTGCACTCGTACGTAAATGCAAATGTTCAATTGAATCTGGTTATTATGATCTACTAACCAATTAAATTTCTGTATGTTTTTAGGGTAACATATGGCAACAGTTACTGTCATTTCATTTCATCTTAGAACTTGTAAATACGATACCATTTACATTAACGGTAAGAAATTAAATAATGTTTGTTATTATTGTTCATAGCTTTTATAAATAATATGTTTGTATTAATATAAAATTAATTTCATTACAGGTTTTTTATCCTCCAATGAGAAATCTTTTCATACCCGTATTTTTAAATTGCTGGCTGGCAAAACATTCGCTGGAAAATATGTTCGTAAGTATCTTTATACAGAAAATAAGTGTTATCTAACCCGTCGTTTACAAAAGCATGTAAATTAAATTATGCATAGGATAGATTATCTTTAATGATGTGAGGCTCCACTATAAGTTATAATGCATACAGCGATTAACATGTTAATTTAGGTTCGGAGGGACCTGGAAAATGAACTTGGAAAATTAAAATAAATATTAATCTCGGTGGCTAGGTGATAGTGCCTTCGGAAAGCTGTAAGGCGTTCCAATTTAAACTTTCTTAATAATATAAACAATATTGGAGAAAAGTTTTAGGAACGTAAAACGTATTAAAGCGGTTTTACCTTTTAATTTAATTTTAACCACCCTCCATTATATCGTATGATGTAGTTTTAGATTATTCAGTAAAATTTTTATGTTGAAGCTTGATTAAGCGGAAACATTCCAGTTATATCACCTAGAAACACTAAACATATGAACTTAGAATAGACGGCTGAAACTTCGTAGGTTACCACTGTGTAAAATGTCACGTTAATATCAAACTTCGAAATACAGTACAAGTCAAATTAAGTTACCAAATCGTATTTAACAGAAATTTAGGTGTGTTTGAGGAGAATTAATTAAACTTTGCCCACCCACATTTTTCTTTCCAAATAAGAGTAAACAAATATTAAAAAAAATTAAATACAAGATGTTACAATTGAATTTGATTATCATAAATAAATTTGTTGGACGTGATTTGAAACATCCAATTCTCCGAAATTGTATTAAAACAATTCATGATTTATAATTTTGAAAAGTATGTTTTGAAATATTTTAGTTTTTGAGATAATTATTTTTGAAGTCCAAGTATAATAAATTTCAAAGTAAATTTTCAAAGCACACAATTTTCCGCGGTAGTAATTAAAAACCTCAATAAAATCGATTTATAAAGGAAGGTGTGATCTTTTTAATGGAAAATTGTGCTCCAAAAATACAATTTGGTTTTAGATGCAATTATTTTTAAACCCAGATGAAAACTTTGTCGTGTTTTCGGGTTAACGACTTTTTTAATTGTATTACATTAATCGAAGAAATAAAATCTAAAAGCTGCACTTCAAGAAAATAATATAGTCGAACTGTTGCGTTATTGTATGTTTTAGTGATGATTAGTGAGGTAGTTAAACAGTTTTACTTTGTTAATCGTTAGATTAACGATTAATACTATTACTATGTTTAGGGTATCTCAAAATTCTTTTCCAGGAGTTTCCAATGTTCTTTGTTGTGGTAGGTGTATTGAATTGTTTATAAAATAACATATCAAAACAAATGTTTGCGAACTGTTTTTGATGTAAGGTTATTTCCATATAGATCAGAAGTGTTCAAACTGATATTACAGGGTTCGACAGTGAAACCTGACGGTTTTTGAACATAGTGTATGGTGAGGAGGTTTCAGTTGGTGAGTGTTGGTACAATGGAGCGTTGCACTAGCGAGTACCAAGCCTTTGTCGTCGAAACGTTCTCAGATATAACGATTCTGAGACCCTAACACAGCGACAATTTCGTTTACGTTTTAATATTCCTCTTCGTGGGTTTATTTAGCATTACAGCTTTAGAAACAACAAGGAGAAAAGAAGGGTCTCACAAGACGACACTGCAAATATTGAGGCTGTACGAGTTGCTTTTGCTATTCATCATGTTCAGGTTCCAGGGATGTTCAATAGGACTGTTTGGCAGATTCTTCTTGAGGGCTTAAATTTTCAGTCATATAAAATTAGTGTAATTTAAGAATTACAGCATTAAGATTTCGCAAGAAAATTAGATTATACAGAAACAGAAGAATGTTTGGGATGATAAATGAAAACCTTAACGGTTTCACTAAATAAAAAATTCCGTTATTTGGGACCACGTAACTCAGCAAAGGTATCGGCAGTCTGTAAGATAGTTGTGATGGAACGACTGCGATCACTTCACGCACGTCTATGGCCCAGCCAAGAAGGTTATTTCCAGGTAGGTTGATCTCACTCCGAGGTGACATTTCATGGCCCGTACGTTCACCAGGTGCGATTTTTATCTGTGGCGGTGCGTTGATATGCCTAGAAATTTTGCAAATCTACAAAACAATATATAGCAGAAAATGTATGCAACTCTACACCAAGCCTTGGAAAGAGTGATGACCAACTTTGAGTAATAGATTTGAAGAGTGCAGAGAAAACGAAGATCAACTTGCATCAGTCATTAAACTTCCATTTTTCCTTTTTTAAATAAAAAGTCTCGATAATTTTAAACAGTCCTTAAATTATTCCATGTCAAAAACACTTTGGTTTCACTTCCGGACCCTGTATGTATCGTAAAACAGTTGTCGGCGAAAAAAAGAACGAAAATATTGGGAGGAGTGGGAGTACAATTGTCGATATATAGTTTGGACTATGATCCAATATCAGCTCAAGTATGGTGTAAAGTTGATAGGGTTCCGTTGATAGGGTAAAATGCGATGTTTATCGTTGACAACCCTGGCGAAGATAACTGTTGCTTGCTGAGCGAAGATCGTAATTAGATCGACATCACGTTCCTATTATCCTGTTCTGTTGAGAGACTGTAATCAGTGTCAGTGGTTAGACCCGGCTTTCACGAATCGTAGGTCCGCAGTCGGGTACACGCACTGATAAATTTAAAGTCTGAATCATGATCGCCTTAATGCTCTGCAACCGGTTGGGGGATCTGTTTGGTATAGTCTGAAGTTCAGAATGCTGAGATGATCAAGCTGTAGCAGTTTAGTCCTGCATATTCTTTTCGTTTTTGATACTTTACGCTATTGGCTTCCTAAAATGTGATTTTCATGTGTATATGATATGTGTTTATTTCTAGGTGTTTGGCGTATCTAGTTATCGCAAACAATACGTATTAGAAGTACTTAAGAACAGTCCGAATTAAATCTTCAATGGAAGGAACTACTTGTTTTCAGTTCCATCTTTAAGTTAATTTGATGTTGCGTTGATCCTATCCGATTTTCGTTGTCTCCGTTGGAGTGGTCAAGGCTATCACAACGCTGCCTTTCCTTTTTCATTGACACAGGGTTTAGACGTCAACACGGGAGGCGTTGGCTTTTCTAGCTTCTTTGCTGAAGTTCGATGCTTGCTCGAGTTTGAGATATCTACGTTGAGCTTTATTGTTCAGATTCAAACTTGCTGGGTTCTTTTGGGGTGATGTGTTGTGGATCTGGTGTTTTGTTATCCGAATCGCTTTGAAAACCCAAACAAATAAACGTCACATACCATGCTATGGCACTGCACATGTTAGTTCTATTGTCCGTGCCAGCAAACTATTAGCAACAGCGACACTGACTGACATTTTTTATAATTTTTATAATGTATTTCATGAGCTATTTCATAAAAATACGAATGGCGAGAATCTTGAACCTCGTGTTGACGTGTTGGCAATAAGCAGATAGTAGCCTACCAATAGCGATATGAGAAAGAAGACACTATTCAGACTTGGCTAGATTTTCTCCTGTCAACATATGTATACCTAATACCAATTTTAGTTAATTCGCCAAATCATACTGTTTACTTTTAAACGGTTCCAAAAACCTTTACTTATAAACTTTTCTCCTTCGTTTTTGATGTAGTTAACTTTTTAAAGTACTTTGCCAATAAATAACTATCTTTGCTTCAAGCGTTACCAGCAATGGGTTTAAAACAACTCTAAACAACTTCCAACTAATAAATTGTAGCATATCTTTGATTCTTTTGGCAGCATCTAAAGTGGTGAGGGTTTCTTTGAATTTGATCAATACATTGTTCAAGTGAATTTAAATGTTCGGAGCAATTCATTACTGATGATAATTCTCGGAAAGGGCGACACACCTACTTCAGGTCTTATAACGAGGGATTATCTAGAGACATCTGGAGTGTAATACAAGTCAAAGCGTTTTTAATGGCTGTGCAGATTACTTAAAGCCCGTTTACATCCAATCGTATTTTGTATTTGTGAGACCATGTCTTACTCCGGAAGAGGTTAACGCTTTATCCTTTACATCATTTTTCTTTTGTTGTGGAAACAGTAAAACGTTTGTCTAATTTTAAAAGAAGGTAATCGATAAAGAAGGTAAAACATACATCGCGACTGTGCCCATTATGAAGACCTTTCTATTCAGACACGTCTCGTTCCACATTAATAAGTACTTAGTCTCTAACAACACGGGTTTAACTGTGGTCAACATTTTATGACGGATGTCATCGATGTAAGATGCTAAGTAATTGATCATAAAAGTAATCATATTCGAGAGTGTGGTAACAATTTATACACTAGGACTCTAGGATTTTATCCTGCTCCCCAGGGATTAATTGGTCAATACTTATGAACGTTGTGTTTTGCGCTGATTAGATCGCCGTTGAAACGTACTAAATGCAATTTTATAAGTACTTCACGAGCGCTTTATTTCCAAAAGGCATTTTTTAAGCATTTGTCATTTCTTCTTGTTTCCGTTTATCCGCCTTAACGTTCTACCAATAATTATTATTTTTAATTATAATTAAGACGATTGAGTGGTTATCGATTTTATCAATTTAACGGTTATTTCGAATCATGTTTCTTCTAATTATTACCAAGTTTTGACTATTTGATTTATTCATCGTACTCAGCGATTATGTTCTAACCTTCCAAATTCTTCGAAGTCAGGGTTCGCAATACAAAGATTTTTCTCATGTAACATAATTCATCGAATAAAACCTTGAGTTTGTTCTAACACGACCGAGATTATTTCGCAGATTAACCTTAGTTTTCTCACTAGAACAGTTTATATACACTCAACATGTAATAAATTTGCGCTTTTTCCAACATTTCTTATCTGACCTCAATTCTAGTGTTGGATGATAACATAATCTTTTTAATTTGGTTATTTTTGCTTTAGTTTAAACACAAGATCGTTGATAGTTAAACCACAGCATAAGAAACTATTAATATCTTGTATATTCATATAAATTAGTGGTATTTCATATCGACCCAAGTGGGGATTATATTGGAGTATACGTAGTTGAGTTAGACAAAACAAAATCTTTTATGTTCACTTTTTAAGGAATCTTAGTAAGGATACTATACAAGAAGCTATATAAGAATGATTGATCGATCGACTAAACATGTCTTTTGATTGTAGCTTGTAGAGACTTGATGGTATAATTGTGAATATCTCCTGGATGTGTGAAGTTTCTGCATAATCATTATGAAGCAAAGTTTTATATCTTCGAATAGTTTATAAATTCATTATAATATTATTACATTAATCCATGAATATTGTACATAAATAAATAACATGTTGTTGTACATTTAAATCACCCCACGTCGAATTCTATTAAAATTCTGTTCCGGCTTGGTTGCACACTTTTCCAGTTAGGAGCAAGGTCAAAAATACACGTTGTAAAAGATGAAAGGAAGCGCCAGAGCATGAGATATATTACAGTCCAACACGAAGATGTCAACATATATTACTCAAACTGACTGATTTCAGATGGCTCAATATCCACTATCATGTTACTATGCTCGAATTGCGGTTAATAAAACATCACCTTATCTGTATGAGAAATGGCGTTCCGCGTTAAAGTACATAACATTAATATTATGAACAGTCATTGTCTTGAATATCGTGGAAACCATATTTAAATGTCTCATATTTAAATAAGATTTTGGTATGAATGGTGTTTACTCCAACATGATTTTTAATCAAGTAACATTCAAAATATTCGGCATAAATTGGTAGTAACGTGACAGTTCGAGTGAAACGATCGATTAGTTAATTAGTTGTTATCAACAATCTTAAATTACTAAAGTTAAATTATAATTGTTTTTCTTTTAATTTTTAGAATGATCTCCACAGAGCGATGCAGAAGTCACAGTCCGCACTTTCACAGCAACTGATGATATTGTCAGCTACACTCCTGTGCCTCGTATTTACAAGGTAAGTCGGGCTACTAAATTGACCTGTCTAATGCAAGATATTTGGGAGTTGAACGAAACTCGCCCGTAAAGCAATTAAATATCAAAGTTAAAATTTTTTATTAACGGCAATTTAATTTTCTGTTCTGCTTTTTAAACGCATTTATGATGCTTTCCGGCTCCTCCACCATTTTTGTTCAATCAAATTCTGTCTGTCTACATAATTGAGTAAACCACACCTATTTACCCCGGTTACTAAATCAGATTGGGTCACATTGTGCTGTCGAATTGAGGTTGCCAAACGGAGGTTTTCGACAAACCGGAACACGGAGCCGCATTTAAACGTTGGTAATTAAAACAAGCCGCTGTCGACATTCGAGCTTCGAAATATTGATGACCCCGTATCTCGTAGCGACGTCCGCCCGTCGGAATTGCGCTGCAAACACCTCTTTTTGTCATGACTTATCTAAAATTTACGATCGGGGAGCTTCCGTGATTTGACAGTGATTTATGCGACCGCATTTCCTCACGACAAGATATATTTAAAATTTTCTTTTTAATTTCTAGTCTCACAAATTGAAATTCTTATAGTCTTAGACTTTTAGATTGAAAGTAAATGAATTGAAGGTAAATGTCAGTTTCGAGACATCAATTGGATTTCTAGATCAGCGGTTAGTAGTTCTATTCAAATTTTTATTAGATCTTTCTGGGAATATCTGGAAAGGTACATAAAATCAAATAAAAAAGGGTGCGAATTTTCCAAATGTAAAGTGAAACGTTAGTTGACATTTTTCTCAACCTTCCATGACGGGCGTGGAAGTAGATTTTCCTATTCCACGTCAAGCATAAAAATCTTTCCCCTTTAAGCGAATATCCCTTCCTTTCTTGGTCGTGTCGTGATTTCCGCATGTTATCGTCTTCGAGATCACAAAACGCGTGATGCGACAAATGTGGAACACCATGTAAATGGAACGGGTCAGGACTTTAACTGGAACGTTCTAAAAAGTTTATACCACCATTTTTTATTATTTAAATTTTTTTGTTATAGCGTGTGCGGAATACAACATTTCCAACGTGCCGGACACCGACATCTCAATCTTTTTCAAGCAACGTATTACGTTGTGGTTACATTCTCCACCGTTGGTTATGGCGATTTTGTGCCTGACATTTGGCCTTCGCAATTATACATGGTGATAATGATTTGTGTAGCTCTCATTGTCTTACCTACACAAGTAAGAAATTAATTTTCTAATAAATAACCATAATGAAATTTATTTATTTAATTCTATTTTAGTTTGAACAACTAGCATTTACATGGATGGAACGGCAGAAATTGGGCGGATCCTATTCTTCACACCGCGCCCAGTCCGAAAAGCACGTCGTTGTGTGTAGCACAACGTTGCATGCAGACACAATAATGGATTTCCTGAACGAGTTCTACGCCCATCCGCTTCTCCAAGACTATTACGTGGTGTTACTGTCACCGATGGAGCTCGACACCACGATGAGAATGATCCTCCAGGTGCCCATTTGGGCACAAAGGGTAATTTACATTCAAGGATCTTGCCTGAAGGATGCAGACCTTGCCAGAGCGCGCATGAACGAAGCGGAAGCTTGTTTCGTTTTAGCTGCCAGAAACTACGCCGACAAAACTGCCGCGGTACGTAAAATATAACTGAAAAACTCGCGGATAAAGCGAGTTCAATGTTCGATACTGTGCGATGAAAGAGTTTTATTTTCGGTTGCGGGTTTTTGTGTTCGACATAGCATAGAATTTACGTTTGTCTGATCATAGGGAAATTGGACGTATTTAGGGGAATCGCTTTTTTTTGGCGATGTTTGTTCAATGTTACACAGCGTTTTTTTTAGTAAATTGAAATGTAGATGTAAATATTATTCGTATCACCTAACGTGTATACAATGCACCCGTTAATACTACATTGTAAAATTGAGACGTAAAGTTTGTTTAGTTGTTGAGGAAGGTATTTAGAGAGGTTTTTATGGAACGGCACAAAAACTACGTTTATAAATGAAACAACGTATATCTCTTACGTACTTAAAATGAAAACGTTTTCAACTGCCGTGGAAATTTTATTACATTGGTGAACAACGTTGAAGCTGGTCGTTAAACCTTATGGCTTTAAAGGCAACAAAACAACTTCGTCTATTAATGAAGTAACTTCGTCACCAAATGTTATTAAGTTACTATAATTTTTTTTCCCCTTGTTATTATTTTTTTGACTTCGTAAATAAATACCATAATAACTTTAGCTTTTCATTATTTTCAGGATGAACACACAATTTTACGATCGTGGGCGGTAAAAGATTTCGCCCCAAACGTAGCTCAATACGTGCAAATCTTTAGACCCGAAAACAAACTTCACGTAAAGTTCGCTGAGTACGTCGTTTGCGAAGACGAGTTCAAATACGCACTTCTAGCAAATAACTGCACGTGTCCTGGAGCCTCGACGTTGGTCACGCTCTTGCTGCACACCTCGAGAGGACAGTACGTGCTTAATAACCTCAAATAGTGACGTTTGGTTTGTACCTTTATTTCTCCGCATATAGGGAAGGACAGCAATCTCAAGAAGAGTGGCACAAGTTATACGGACGCTGTTCGGGAAACGAGATCTATCACATTGTTCTCGGCGATAGCCGCTTCTTTGGCGAATACGAAGGGAAAAGCTTCACGTACGCCAGCTTCCACTCTCACAGAAAGTAGGTAAATAATGGTAACTGGGTAACGATTCTTTGGTTAAATCGTAGAATTGTGGAATCCGATTTTGATCTGGGTAGTTCGGATAAAGCTGAACAAATTGAAAAATTCGATCAACGAGGTTTTTGTAATATTTCTAGAGTTGCGTATTTCAAAATCTTATTTCTACGTCTAAATCGGATTCTAGTTCAAGTAAATAATTAGAAAAAACACTGTTATAAAATGTGTATCAAATTCTTTTGTATTTTATACATAAATTGATGTATGTTAGGTATGGTGTGGCTTTAGTAGGAGTGCGTCCAGAGAAGATGCCGGAATTCTACGAAGACACAATTCTATTAAATCCAGGTCCCAGACACATCATGAAAACCAGCGATACGTGTTACTATATGAGCATAACGAAAGAGGAAAATTCGTCTTTCACGGTAGCTAACCAGCAGGTGAACAATAACAATGCGACTTCGGAGCCGGTAATTGTCACCGCCGAGGAGAAGCCCACCATCGTGCCATCTGCTAACAAAGACGGTACCGGCCCTCCTGTACTCATACTGCAAGTCCCCACCTGTGTCAGTGAGTGTTGTCACGCATGCCAATGTCTCGATTAGTACCCGCGTTTATGCTAATTGCGATTTACGACCTATTCTAATGTATTGGAGTTTTGGTCGATTAAATCAATTTATTGAAAATTTTATACCACAACAATTTGTATATACGTTACGATACTTATAATTAATTAAACAATTAAATAAAATGGTATGAAATATTCAAATTTATATACACAAGTATTTTTAAAATAGCTAACAGAAAATATTTGCCAGAAGAACACGAGACCTAAGGTTTCTACGTAACTGTTGTTAGTATGCGCAAGTAATGAAATTTTAAACATTTAGCACTGGAAAGTTAAGGGGGCGGGCTGCGTCGTGTTTGACATGAATGCATGCCCGTGCATGTTCTGTGTTTTCACGGTTTTTAACCGATTCGTTTCATAATAAGCCGAGTCGTCGCCGTTCGTCCATTATTAGCGTTATCTCCGACTATTTTGCTTCTCGCATTCAACCTTTTTGTTCTCGACGCTAACGAACGCGCGGCGACGACGTTTTACACGTTATTTTGCCCTAGACGAAATGTTGCTACTCAATACAACACGCAAAACTGCGATTTTCGGCCTCCAAGTAATCTGTATAGCTTGCAGCAACAGCAGCAGCACACACTTTTGTGTACAATACACGCCACGCCATTGACGTGTTGCAAAGTTCTTTCATTTTTTTTTTTGGCCGTTTTTGTTTTGCGTATTCTTTGTTTAGTATAGGAGAAGTTACAGTCATGATACTTATATACAAGTTTCTTAAATGAATGAGAGATTTTGAAGTGTTAACAAAGTTTTAGGTTGATATCATATTTTTAAAAATTTTAAATATATTTTTTAAAACGAACGTTAGGATTATTTTGGATAATCGTTTATAATGGAATAATAAATTAATGTTGTCCCTTAACGCTCGTAAACTGGGCGTAGAATAAATAGTTTTGGATTTAACTGCCTTCTGTTTTATTGATTGCGATAATGTCAAGGTTATTTTTAACAAAATCTATGACTACTACGTTACAATAAATTCAAATACAACAATACAAAACATCGAAGTAATTGATATCCATTATAAACATTCAGAAATAAAATAGCATACTGAAAAATTTACTTACTCCTCAGCAACGTTTCCTGATGGCGGAAATTTATCAGACTCGAAACAGTGTCTGAGGGACACATCGCCGGCTTCAATAAATATGGATGTCTCAGTGACTGGTAATCACTTAGATATACCACGTACAGGAGACAACCCAAATTTGCTCAGCCCAGAAACGATTAACCAAAGAAGAAATTCCAGAAGACCCAGCATCCTTCCAGTACCTGATATGTTCACTAGTTCTACGTTAAACATTTCTCAAGATATTGCTGATGAAGGAGACGAAAGCGAAGATGAACTCGAGGACGACGTTCCCTGGAGATCTCCCAGTGAAAAGATTGCGTAAGGATTAGCTCTTATGCATGCTGTTCATAAAATATCTACATGTAGAGTATCTCTGTTTTCTTATATTAATTTCTTAGTCTTAGTTTATAGTTGCTATATTTTATTATTTGGAGGAAATGCCAATAAGATTAGTTTAATGTGCGATTTAAAATTAAATAACCAAACTTTAGCTTTGACTTACAAAATGGTGTGGGGATTTAGTTTGATTTAACCGTTATATAGATTTACAAACATTGAATAACTTGTGCATTCAAGACAATAGGATTTAGTCTATTTTAGAAATAATATGTTCAAACATAAATTTTATTAATGGATAATGTTTGTTGGACAACATCTTCAAAGCTTATGAAACGTGATACGTGATAACACCAAGTTTTCAGTCACTAATTTCAGTCAATAAATGACATATAACACTACACTTTAGGTTACCTATATCAAATTTAGCACGTGGCCAACTTAATGAAATTGGAATCACTCTGAAAATGCGATTTCCTTTTCTGGTATCATATCTTATACTCTATTACCTTTGGTGTGAATTGAGCTGCCCCGTTAAAAGTAGCTCAATGCTTATCGATCATACTGGTAGAGGAGCACTTCTCTTCATAGCTCATATTTTAAAAACAAACATAGTTATACATAGTTCAAACAAAGATGATAAACGAAGTTGCTGACAGTCACGTACCTAAAATATGAAACATATCATCACTACCCTGAATGTATCATGCACGAGCAATCTGGGACTTAACAGCAAGGATAAAATGTGAATGAAAAAACCATGTCGATAATCGTAAAACTTCGTCTGTCGATAAGCATACTCTTTGATGCCATACTCCTGATATTGCAAAAAAGAAAAACTTGAAATTTTTTCGGCGACTTTCGCTTTGCCCGTATATGTTATTCTGGAAACAATGCCGTCCAACTTACCTCTTTAGGCCTGATGCCTAAAATGCAATTACGAAATAGTCACCAGTTCTAAGATAAGTTATAGCAAGTTATCTCGTGCTCTAACTTATGAAGAGCAACCGGACAGCTTTTCAGATGAAATGAATCCATCCCAACACTAGATCAAATATGACATCCAGCAGAATGGTTGTCACCTCTTGGTTTCTACAAAACTTGCTAATATTATCAACCCATTACTGACCACAGCCACACAACTTTAACATGATGGCGACGACATACAGCATTCAATGGTGTTCTCATCACAGACATAAACTAATGACAGATCTATAAGACCACCTGATTAACCCATTAGTGCATGAAGTTAATTTTTTTTTTATTTTTCTTTAATTTTATTATCTATTATATCAAAAATCAATTTTTTTTTTGGAAAAATAAATTTTTGCAAAACGTTCCTTAAAAGGGGCACTATGCACTAATAAGTTAATGCCCTGATACTAAGAAGATGAAAATGAAGATGAAAAAGAAGATAAAGAGGACAAAGAAGAAGAATAAAGAAGACAAAGAAGAGGAGATCTTCAACCTACATCGTAATTGATGCAAGAGTATTTAACTAAACAGCTGTAAAAAGGAGCGGGGTGGAACCCTTCCTTAAAATAATGTCACCTCATACAGTTCTCCTGAAGTGAGGCAACCTTCACTGTTAATATTGCCGTAACACAGTTATGGCTCAGGAAAACATTTCTTTACCAAAGGTAACAGGACCCAGAAGCGCTTCTTAATCGCATAGTTTCATACTATTTCCTCATGTGTTAGTGATCGTGATACCTGATAGAAGTACTTACAAGAAGTACCTTAAAATCTTGGGAAGAACAGTTTTCTGATTTTCAATGATGTCCAACTATTTCTCCATTGCAGGTTGTGAAGACGAAATCCAAAGACATTCCGGCGTACATAACGCCGGACGGAGCATTATATAAATTTGAAATTATGCCTTTCGGCCACAAAAACATACTAACTTCTCTCTAAAACTAGATGACATAAAAAGTGATTACAACCTGGTATTCGAAAGACTGCAAATACATAACCTGCACATTGCCTAGGAGCACTGGTTACGATAAATTATTCCCAGCTGTATCGGAACTGTTCAGCCAATGATAAATATCTTAAAAATGATCCCCAAGCAAAACACCAAGGTTGTCTTTTGACCATTTTAGGTTGTCACATGAATTTTTAAAATCACTGCCGAACAAATGTCAGATGAGAAAACAACATATTATTATTATTATTGACATATTAACAAATCAACCAAAGACAGATACGACAGACGTGCTTCTTCCTGATAGACACTGAAGTCTTGATATGATTTCGATATCACACTCCGACTGTGGGGATACTTTAATGAATCACATCAGTTTGTTATAGTTTGTTGAGTCAGCATGGCTGACTCAAGGAAGATATGAATTCATGGCTTCAAAAATTGTCCCCGACTACAAATGTAAGAATATCACACGTATATCTCTTTGGTATCAACTCCTTGGAATATCCATGGATATTCACATTCGTCCCCGGGGAAATGCCGCCAAAAAAACAAATATCATATACCTGGAGAATCGTTTGTAGACAACTTAGTATCAGGCCGCTTATTGAGAAAAAAGGAAACTGAAAGGGAATAGATAGCGTCAACGATATACCGGTAAGATACACCAACACTACAATTTACGCCAGGTTTATCCTCGTGTTGATCTGGAATGCATCAGACGGTTTAATAGTGCTAAAGTTAAAATCTACACTTACTCAATCGCCACCAGCAGTTCATCCATGCATTGCTATTACCATTTCGTCGAATGTATACCAGCCCCATCGGTTGGTCATCATCTCCACTCATCTCCATTACTTAGCCAAACAGAATGTAAGAACCATATAGCCCTTTCTGTAAAAAATGTCTAAAAAACACCGAAACAAAACTGCTCAAACTTTCTGAATTCAGTTACTATAACTATTAAAATTGTTTGATGATGAAGATTTTAAGGGGTGCAATGACGAATTATACAATTGCAATAGTACTGCGAAACACAGAATATACCACCACATAGCATAAGAAAAATCTTTGAAATTCAATAGAATAAATATAGGAAAATTAACTAACTGAAAGAGAATTTTAACAAAGAATGGTTACCCATCATTTACGATCTGACACATCTGATAGAAAATTGCCTAATGTCGTAATGTGTTGCATGTAGAAAGGCTAAAATACAATAGATGTACGGGGTGATTCAAAAGTAGTCAGTAATACTAAAACCTCAGGCAAATTATACGTTGAAATGAAAGAATAAAATTATTTTTGATTTGCTTTCGTTTTCGAGATTCGAAATAAGCGATATCATAGTTTATTATTGGGACAGGAAAATGGATTACCTTTACCAATCTACCTATTTTCATAAGTATTGTTGAGAAATCCCATCAGTTCTCTGAAATAAACTGGAGGCACGCTTTTATGTTAGTACCAACTTCGTCGCGTTAAATTGAGTGGTGAATTATCCAACTCTTTCCTAAGGTCTCTTTCTAAGAAATTGAGGTAACCCGTATATCGTAAGGAGTTCAAAATACCTCTTCTAACGTTTATCGAAAATCTGCCTTGAACGCACGTTGTTTTTAATGTGAGAGCGGAAATTGTTTACCCCGTCGTAAGTGGGGTAAATCGAGGTAAATCGAGTAGAGTACTTGATGGAAAAATGGAGGTCTTCCTTTACTTTGCATATAACCCATTATTAAAGTTTCATTTCCCGCAAATAATCAGCAGGTTCCGAAAGTGGCATAAGATAAGAATGGAATGCGTAAAGTAAACATCATTATTGAGTATTCTCTATACTCTAGACAGTGTTATATCAAACCCAACAGATACCTTTCTTGTACTGATAATAGCATATGCATTGTGAACTTTATTAGAATTGTTACTGCACCTGGAGATTTTTGCAGATGCATTGAATCCGCCCATTGAATTTAAAATGTCAAAGCATGTTTAGTGGCTCTACAAATAAGACCTGAAATATATGGAATTATGTAATTCATTGATAACGTGACATGTAATATTCCACTTTGCCAAATCTCCGCGAAGGGATGTTGACTATCTGATGCTACCCAATTATTGTGCAACATGGGTGATGACAAAACATGGGTAAAAAGAAAAAGGGTAAAAATCATTAAAGCATTCGTTTAATCAATGTTCGTTGATTAATTACGATTCGTTCAATCGACGGGATTCAATCAATTAATAAGGATTAATTCAACATGAGCAATTCACGGAATAGACTTTTCCACTTATGGCATAGACACTTATTTATGTTATACGCAAAAATAAATTATACTCTTTAACAACAGCTCGGGGTGATTGTCCTTATTTAATTTATTGCCTAATTTTATAAAAAAGAGTAAAAATACATCAAACATACTCACATTACATTTTCTTACGTCGTGAATAAACACAAATATTACATATCATAATGATAAAATTACTCCAAAAATGTGCAACAACTTTATAAAGATAACAATTTTGAAAGTCAAAAACTTGTTTAAAACTTACTAAAGAATATAAACCAAAATTGATTTAATTAAAACGGAGAATATATAATGTCGTTTAGAATGTAATTCATTTATAATCAAATGAAATATTATTGAAACTACAAGCAGGTAGGAATTTGATTTCAATACGAAACGATTCTCCCATAATTTCCAATTTCAATTTTGCAAAGCCCCTGACATGCAAATACCTCTGAAGCGAACGCCGATTGATTGTTTGAAAGTCTTAATTGCAATCCACAAACAAATCATTTTTCAACTTCAGTAAGTACCATAAGCATTTTTCCGAACGTATTTTTAAAGATTAAATTACTTATTTATACCTAAACTAACTACGTCTAAAAACCAATAGATAAATCAAGTTAAAGTTTGCAATCTAGACACTTTTGGTTCTACCCATCTAGAGTTAAAGTTACAAACTTAAAGTTTAAGTTTAATTGCGAACGTTGCCCCGCGAGATGAGCTAAATGAATTTTGTAAGCTGAGATCTCTTTCGTTGGCATCTCCGAACTAGTTCTAACTTTACTTCCATACCGCGTAATTCTGTCATCCTTTTGCTTTTTGTATGATATTACATGCCTATCACAGACTAGGAAATTCTAAGTCGATTTATGCACGGTTATGTCTCGCACATGTATTAGTTTCTCTCTTGTCACTTTTCTCTCCGAACCTTGTGCACTTCCTTAGGTCCAGTCTTTCAATCGACTCTGGCGATTCTACAAGACCTGCATGGCATGACGATTGCGTCCGGTAAGTCTTTTATTTTTTATATAGTTTTCACACAAACTTTTACCCCTTCTTTTTTACAAATCCATTTATAAACCATTTCTGCTAGTTTAACATTATTCATCTATCTGCTCTGCAACCTTCTCTTAAATGTTGCATTATTATATATGTACAGTGAATGTAAGGGGTATATGTGCATGTTATGGCGTAAAAAATGTTAAATAAAATTAAACAGATTTAAAAAATTAAATTTCTTAGATCGATAACCACAAACAGAAATGATATTTTATTTTAGCTAGTGGTAGCTAAATTAGTTTGCAATGTTAGATATGGGTACAATATAAAAAATTAATTTAGTTGATTAGATGAAAAATTTATTCATTAAATATTGAAAGTTGCAAAAGTAAAGATTTTCATATTTTTTCTCTTTATAGGCAAAAAGATACATTAACAGTTCCCACCGAAACACATTTTAGTATATCAGGAAGTCCAATGAAAGAAAAACGGTGCGTAAAAGAATGGTGACACGCGTAAAGGTCAATTCATATATCGTGCCGGAGGTCACGAATCGATAAAAAAAAACGCTACAGAAAGGTGGTAGTCTTTGTCTCGGTTTATTTACTTTCTGTTCATTAGTTATCGCTTCGTTTTGATCTGTGCACTTAAAAAAATGTATGAATTAACCTCTAGTGTAACAAAGCATAAATAAATAAAAACGAACTTTATTACGAAAGCAACCATTCGAAATGACAAAGTTTTTAATTCCAGACAAAAAAGGAAGGAGTATCGCGTTACAATAAATCCACCACCAAAAATCGAAGAGTGGTTCGTACGCAAGTTTCCAAGCTGGTTGAAATTTTTCAAATCTTCTTAGCGTTTTGTTATCTTCTCTTACTTTTTGCGAAGCTTCTGCGATTTAACAAATTTTTAACTTGACCCCGCCGTTTATGTTTGATAACTTAATTAAAATTTTGCATTTCTTTTATGTGTGCTGTTTATTTTTCAAATATGCGTAATAACGTATGTCATGAATTCGTTAATGGAAAACAGTTCCTCTGACGTACTTTTTATCTTGGCTTTGAGTATTTTGGTAATCTAATTTACTATTTAGGTTCACTAATCATCTTGTAATTAATATTGATTGCTGTTGATTTACTGTTTTTAATACAGCTTTTTCTAGGAATCTAACCAATTTTTGAATTTGTCTATTTATATTGCATTGATTTTTAATTTTCATTTTCGTAGGATGTTAAAAATTTAGTCTATTAAGTTCAGCGAGTAGATAATATTAATCTTCCATTAGACAGGATTTGATTAAGTTAGAATCACAATTATGTCAGCCAATATAGTTTTCGCATTCAAGATACGTTTTAGATGGACGTTCGAAGTTATGTGGTGTATTGATTAAATCGCAAACTAGAACTTGTTCAATTAAATTATAGTTTACAAACCACAACAAATTTATTATCTCACGTATTTTTAACATCCTACTTTTAAAACTTCAATAATCATTCTAGCTATCTATATTTGTGAATACATTCTTTCGAATCAATTATAATCAACCCAGAGTTTCTTTATTTACCACGAAATTCAGTGATTGATATACATCCTTACACTTGATAATTACATTTAAACCATTTCGCCCAACCTATTAACTGTTATACATTTTTAAGGAACTTTTTAATCTTGTTATAACATTCGACCAAGTTTTTATTTAATCCTTGTTTTTGTTCAGCATCGTTAAAGGATTTCCACCAGTTTCTCCGTACATCGGGGTCAGCTCAACATTGTGTTACTTGCTAAAGGAGAAGAAACCGCTCTGTTGCCTTCAGTTAGCTCAAGTTTGCGAACACTGTAGCTACAGGAATGCGAGAGATTACCAGTGGCAGAACAAAACTATCATCCTTGCGGCGGATTACGCCTCGAACGGAATCTACAACTTTATTATACCCTTGAGGGCACACTTTCAATCGAAGACATCTCTCAATCCTATTATTCTATTATTGGAAAGGCGACCGGATATTGCTTTTTTGGATTCAATATCTTATTTTCCACTGGTGTATTGGATGCTGGGATCTATAGATTGGTGAGTCATAAAAGATGAGAATACAATTAGTATATAATTTATTTTAATGAAATTTACTCAGACACAACATGATTAAAGGGGTAGATTAAAGCGATCATTCTCGCATATAAACCCAACAGAATTTTTTATTAACCCTTTAAAGGACCGATGTAAATGGGCCAATACCGGATTGCTCCGCTTTGAACCAGACAACGTGAATTATTTAAACCCTATACACACAGCTTAGAATTGGAAATAAGTCGCACTGCGGTAAAGGCCCGTTTAAGATAATATCCATGCGTTATGAATAATTCCCTTAAAAACCTTTTCTGTTATATTACAATTCAAGAAGACGTAAAACGTCATAACATCCATATATTTTAAGAAACTCGAACTACGTGTTATCATGAAATGTGTCGGATAAGATGTAGAAGTCTCTGGAGTACCTGAAAGGTCATAAATAATTTTAAATTGCAGTTTGGACGATCTCCTTCGCGCCGGTATCACCCTAGCTGAGAATGTCGTGGTCGTAAATAAGGAGCTGTCAAACTCTGCCGAGGAGGATTCGTTGTCTGATTGCAATACCATAGTTGCCGTGCAGACCATGTTTAAGTAAATACATCACGTTTCTACGCAAATAGATTTTCATGTCTTATAACTTAATTGGAAAGTATTTTGAAATTTATTACGTTATTTTGCAGATTCTTTCCCAGCATAAAGAGCATAACCGAGCTGTCTCAATCGTCGAATATGAGATTTATGCAGTTTAGGGCACACGATAAATATGCATTACATTTATCTAAGATGGAAAAGGTAAGATTTAAAAAGGATGTTTAAATATTAAACCTCATAACTTTACAGTTTGTATATAATCAAGCATCTAGTTAGCATTCATTTGTGAAGCCGCATTAGAGAGCTTCAGGGTGCATTAACGCGAATTTTCTTGTAGTTAAACTTCTTAATTGTCCAAAAACACTTCCTAAGTCGTTAAGAAACTTTGAGGAAAAGTTTAATCTCGAGCTTACAATAACGTCAATTAACGCCCTTGATATTAAATTTTTATAATAACATTATTCATTTAAATTTTAAGGGTCTTATTGTTATTTTGTTTTATTTTTAGAGGGAAAAAGAAAGAGGTTCCCACATCTCTTACATGTTCCGTTTGCCATTTGCGGCTGGGAGTGTATTTAGTGCTAGCATGTTGGATACGTTGCTTTACCAGGCTTTTGTTAAAGACTACGTGATCACTTTTGTCCGTTTACTGCTGGGAATTGACCAAGCCCCTGGATCCGGATTCCTAACTTCCGTAAGTAAACTAGAAGGCAATTTCAAATAGCCTGCGGTGTGAACTTTGTTTATAGGGGTTTTGCTTTACAAATTCAAACCAAGTAAATGTTTATACGTCCTCGGTTTAACTTCGTCAACCGTCGACGTCCCTAATTGGAATTAGCAAGATTAAATTTCTATACCGATTCCACACAATGAGTATAGAAATATATTAACAACTTATTAATTAGAAAAAATTTAATAATAAAATTTAATTATAAAATTAATAATAACACTATTATAATAAAAAATTATTCGATATATTTTTCTAGATGAAAATAACTAAAGAAGATATGTGGATAAGGACTTATGGTCGTCTTTATCAAAAACTTTGTTCGACAACGTGTGAAATTCCAATAGGAATTTATAGGACACAGGACACTTCGTTGTCCGATTCGTCACATGTGAGTATGAGCGGGTGCTCTTCGGCCTGGTCAAGCTGTGTGCGTGTGCAGTCGTTGACATCGGTGAGTAAAAGAAATCTGGCTCAACTGTAACCAAAAGTTAATAGGTCCATGAAGTTGGAAGGCCACTAAAACCACTAACAATGAAATGTAAACGATCATTACTGGTCGGTTAGTGTTTCTTAATTCCTTCAATAAGGAATCCCCAATTAGAAGTTATATCTAACTTTCAGTAACTTACTCTACTTAATGAAGAGCATTAACGGCTAAATCGGTGTTGTCGAATAGATTTTTTCAAGTTTAGTGTTGTGGGGTAACATGTAGCAAAACGTTTCGTTTATGAACATTTCATTTTGATTACACTTAAAGCACTAACGCCAAAGTCATATTTCAATTAACCCCCCCGCGGGAGCAATTGGCCCGACAGGCACAGCTAGAATGGTTCCACTTCCAGAAAGCGTAGGAGTCTGAGGCTCCTATTAGTCTACGGTATTTACCTGATGATTTAATGTTATGTGCGCTTACCCAGTTGGCTCGCGCATTTTTTGATATCACTAAGATCGATTATTTTTTCAGTGACTTTCAATGTAAAATTCTTTGATATTTTCTAAAAACACCCGATTTTTTGGTCTACCAGGCACATCGTGTTCAAATATGTACTTTTTCAATTAAGAGAGACAATTAAGTGTTCTTGTCCAGACCTCGCGCCTATTACTTTTTAACAGCGTTGTCGAGACTATTTTCGAAACTTAATTAGTATTAATGTGCCGTCGCGACGTCGCACGAAAGTATGATTTTGGTGTTGGTACGGAATGGTATAAAAAGAGGACAGTTCGCTAAAATACCTTGACGATATAACAGTTTTTATTGATTATGACAAGGAAGACTTCTTAGGCAACGAGAATTTGGAACAGAAGAGTGATACTGATTTACAGAATGACTTTGAAAAACGGGATGGCGATTCAGAAACGGAAACAGATGGCGAAAAGTTTCAAGATGAATACGATTCTGGCCAAAACGATTGAGTCTTCGAAAATATCCTACTAAAGTTTTAGGCGAAAATTTGCTGTCATCTATTTTACTATTTTATTACAAATCTAGCATAGTACTCCTGTAATCAAGTAACTGAAAATGTCGAATACTGACAACGTGATCTACATCAAACACTATTTAATCATTCGTCCGGCGCAATTTATGACAGGCACAACTAGAATGGTTTTGTTTCCTCCTTCACTCCTAGGAAGTGTAAGGCTATTCCTCCTATTAGTCTACTTTCTTTACCTCATGATTTAACCCTCAATGATAATTCTGATGATTGTCACCTTTGATGATAAGGAAGACCCCTACGGAACGCGAATTTGGAAAAGAAAAATGACACTGATTCTCAAGATGACTTTAAAAAACGTGAAGATGATTCAAAAACTGAAAAAGATGCCATTTCTTTTCGGAAAAAATAAAAAGTTAAGTTGGGCGAAAATCTCACAATATTGTAACTCAACACCCTGGTGTAATAGGAAACGCTGAGAATACTCACACCACTGTTGATTGTTGGCATAAGTTATTCACTACTGACATCTTTAATTATAGCTTTAACTTTAGAAAGGAAAATCCTAAGAAGTATATTTAGTTCAAAGCAAGAAGACAGGGAATGGAGATCCAGGTACAATTGTACGAAATGTATAAAGAGGTTCCTATATCCATTTTCGTCAAAATACAGACTCCGTTGGTCTGGTGACCTTATAACGTGGTCCGAATGGAGGGGACGAGAATGCCTAAAAGAGTACTCGAATCTGAAATAGACCAGCGGGAACACCCAAAAAGGGATACCAAGACGGCGTCAGGAACTGGAAGAGAGCAGCTGTGGATAGAGATGGATGGGGAAAGAAACTGAAGGAGAAAGAATTAGAAGAAAGAATCTTTAATACGATAGTTAAATAAAGTACAACCAGTATATTGAATCGATAAAACATAAATTTTCTAGAGACACCGACATCTCAGCCATAGATGTCATCAAAATGACTTTTATTCACATTTGATATATGGCAACAGTTCTGGGAAGGAATCGATAAAGTTTGGTATCGAAAAATTTGAGATTGTAATGAATATTATACGGTTCAAAATGCAAAATATATTATATTCAAGTTTTTAACAGCCGCTTTTATTGTCACACTTGTAACTGGCTCCACTCACACAACATTCAATAAGTCTGGAAAAACATGGCAGATCCTTTCCCAAATATTTTCACGAGGTTATTGTTACTTGCCAACTTCAATTCGTCCTCACAATCAGAATCAATGCGATTTTCGATTTCTTTACAAACATCTTCGTTACAATCTCGTATTTTCACTTCTATTTATACTTGTTTGTATAATATGTCAATAAATAGCTAATACAAAATAGTTGTTCTAGAAGAAAATATTGTAGATATAGATAGAACGCTAATTGAATACCACAAGTTGAATTAAATGGCTCACATTTTAAAATGTTTCAGGTATACTAACACACTATCGTTGAGCTAACAACTGTTCTAGGATCTACACAGCTCGGGCCTCGACGGCCCGTTCGTATTTTAACAACAACAATCCCCTTTAATCAATAAACGGGTGCTCTAACTGTGTTGACGAACTAATTTTACTATTCTAAATTTACATACAGTGTATATTTAAGTGTATATTTAACACATTTGTACCTCAATTTGTCACAAATAATATAAAAAGTTACAAAAACTTTGAAAAATATTTCATTGCTGGTAAAGTTTACAGAACGGTAGAAACATACATTTTATAGTATAAATAGATAGTATAATTAATACATATATCATTTTACAACGTTACAGCAATTTTTCGGTCTTTGTTCGAGGGACACATGTTACACTTTTTGCGTTTTTGCTTTTGGACTATTCTCTTTGTGGTACATTATTACCTGCTCTTCTTTCCATGTGTGACACAACTAATGCCTCCACTAAGCCTTTAAAGGATCCTTCTGCCATGACTTACATCATTGTAATAATGCGGATGCTGCTTCATAAATACTACATAAACATTGTGAACAGCAATATGAATCATATCATAGACAAGTGCCATGGACCATCGCCTTGTCTCCCTTTTACAAGAGTATTTTCTAATCCATAACCTCAACAACGTCCTTTATTTTTTATAGTAAAATACTTCACTATCATCGGGTTTAGCTTTAGACGCAGTAAAATTGTCATTTATTTTTTAGGTACATAACTAACTATAAACAACTTTCGCCTTATTTTCCTTAATTTCAAGTGATGCATGCTAATTATCCACTGTCAGATTTAGCTTAGAAGAAAATATTGTACAAACTAGTGACTTAACAACTTGGAATCCTAAATTTTTGTAAACCCCTTCACTTAGATGTCGTCCAACATACACTAAAACGTCAATAGTAAAACCCGATGCCGACTCACACATCTAACAAATCTTTTCCCGTATTTAGAGGCTTTGCTTAGCATATACTATTTGCATTTACAACGTCCTCGATATGGATTTAATTGTTCATCAATAGTAACATTTGCATCCGCTGTTATGCCAACTCTGCACTGCTGAAAACATAAATTCCAAATATTAGAAATCGTCTTCTTTGAGTCTTTCATCTCTTGTTTGAGAAGCCAAAAACGTAAGGTGTATGATAGCTGACTTGGTGCTGGGAGTCACTCTGAGAGACAAGATTCGAAAAAGTGACATTGGCAGAAGAACACAGATGTTATGAGTTGAGTAGCAAGGCTTAAATGGCAATGGATCGGCCATGTTGTAAGAGAAAACAGAAAAATGAACACAAAAAATAACCTTTTGGAGATCACGAGAAACTAGAAGAGGTACAGGAATATCATTAAGAGGTGGATGAATAAAATGAATGAATAAAAACAACTAAAGGTAGAAGTAAATGGAGACATTTGGAAGAGGCCTATGTCCAGCAGTGTACGAATACAGGCTGAGGAAGAAGAAGAGAAGAGACACAAAAAGAAAATGCGATAAAAAACCTACATATTTTAATGGTCAAATATGGACCAAGAAGATCTCCAGGTATTCTGACCAAGCTGGTACCTGACATTTTTGACAATGAAATCAGATTTGAAATTTGTACAACTAAGTATCTCATTCAAAATGCCTTTTGTCATAAAATATTCAAAAGCATCTCGAAGGGAACAAAATATTTTAGATATAGGACCTGGAGCACATCTTATAATGTTATACCAACGTATTTCAGATTGAGGTGGTGGTGTAATTTGCCATGACACTCCATTTGGAGCAACCAATTCATTTGTGGAATGTAGTTGCGTTTTCGTCTTCATCTAAAGTACATATTTCGCGTGACTCACCATCTAAATATTCTTCGCTCACTATTTTTTCACTGTTTCCGTATTCCGATTCTAAACTTTCACCACTAAAACATTCTTCAGCTCAATGAGTAAATGATTTTTCAAACTTCTTATCACCGACACGTACAGTGTCTATCAGTAACTTTTTTTAAAACACCGTGGGCTTGATAAGCCCGGGGCATGCATTCCAGGATTCAATATTAAGTGTTATAAAAGTAACCTTAATATTTGTAAAAATCGCGAAATCTATTGGGACAATGGGAATAAACAACGCGTTTTGACACAGTGTTGAATCGCAAAAGATCAATTACCACATAAAATTCTATAAAAAAAACAATAAATTATTAATTAATTTATAAATTATATTATCAAGTTGAGTAATTTACTCAAATTGAGTTACCAAATAAATCGATAGTTTCGGACGAAGCCGAAATTTTTCCGAAAGGTCAAAAAGTCTCAACTTCTATACGTCTTTGAATAATTTATCATCGATTGCTGTTACTTTCGATTGATGTTGTAAACAACTTATCATCAATAAAAAATGTGTCAAAATCAATAATTTCGGATATATACCAATATTATTTGTTAATCTAAACTTTGTTTGCATACAACGTTGAAAAAGTGATATAATTCGTAATTAGGGTATTCTGTAATTTAGGAATCATTAACGTTTGACACATGTTTCATTGTTAGTGCATTTATTGGCTTGCATTAACTTCACGGGTCTGAAAATATGAATGAATTCCGCCTAAACCGAGCTTTTTCTGCAAATCCAATCGCGGATTAAATCGTTTATTATTCGTGCGATGTGTACATTGCTGTTGGGATGTACATAATAACAATAATCGGTTAATGTCGAACACGTGTACGCAGGCATTGCAGTCGTTTTCAGCATTTCGACTTTCTCGAACACACCTCTCGGAGGAACGATGAAGCACACGCACGATGGTGATGACCACGCCTTTGTGTCATGGTATATTGCATGACTGTAGCACCCCATTTTCCCTTCGACCCCTATGTAGCGTGTTTTTTCATCTGCACAAGTCTTTTTTATAAATTATTTATTACACCTCACCAAATTGTTGTAGCGTGATGTTCCTTGTACCACTGGATAATAAAAATTGTTACTAATTTTTAATAAATACTCATAATAACAGTGTGATGCATTATGTAAAAATATTTTTTCCATTTCCATCCATTTCTTTTTTTTTTTGGTTTGGTTTTTGTTTCCTCCATTTTGTGTTATGTAATGTTAAGAAATAAGCTGGTAGTGCACGGAGATAGTTAAGCGGCTTCTTCTTCATGCTAGCTTGAGGAGGAACATTTTGGACAAGACCGCGTAGGTGTTACGTATCGACCGAAAGAGGGTACAACATGTCTAGGATGTACCGATAAAAGAAATTCAGTGGTAAGTTTCGATTACTCTTTTCCTTGATGACATGGCACCAGCAAACACAGAGTTCTCGAATTAATGGGGCATTTTAGAAAATATCAATTTTGACACGTCATGTTTCGATCGATGTTGATTATTCGTCTTTTTTTGTTATCAAATTGGCAATAAATAAGAAAAAAAAGTTTGATCAACGTTTGAGTAGAATTAATGCTTAATAAACACCACAGCAACATCGCTTTAAATGTTTATTATAAGAATTATATATAAATTTTCTAAGAACATTGTTTAATTTTGTTTAAATTTAATGTATAGTGCCATTTATAGAATTTGAAAAATCTTAATTTCCAATTTTCGTGTATCACGTAAGTAAAGTAGCGAGAGTTGACAGAAAATAAATCTACTAATTTTCATTTCCAACCTTTTTACTGTCTACTCTTCAAAACTAAATCATTAACTGATTTCTGACATGTTAACGATTCCTTTCACAAATAAATCGCTTCACAGCAAAGTAATCGCATGGGATGCACGGCACGTGCATCGTGCTATTTCAACAAACCTTATAGATTTTCCCATGTGTATTTAAAACGTATTACAGTACTCGATAAACATGGTAGAGGAAGCGAAAGACAACCACAAGCAGCAAATAGAGCGTGCTGAAATTGCCAACCTGGTCCGTTCACGCATGGACAGCCTCAATTTGCCCGTAATCGATTACAACGATGTTAGCGAGAAAAGGAACAGCCTTTCATATGTGATTATTAACCCCAGCTGTGACTTAAAATTGGAAGAAGGTGACATTATGTAAGTTATTATAATTAAAACATTAATGACATAAATTAGAAATGTTGCAATATAAATATTATATATTGTGTAGATATTTGGTGCGTCCAAGTCCATTTTCGGCACAGAAAACATTTGAGCGTCACAACAGTAGAAGAAAATCAAATATCAGCTTTTGCTCTCAGATGCTCGTGAATCAAATGGCAACAGCTTCGCAGGCAGGGAGCAGAAGAGGTTCCGGATTAGGACTATCAGGTTTTCCATCTCCGCGAGCTCCGCCTTTAGTAACCACAAAATCCAACTCTTTATCCTTACCAGATAGCCCAACAGTGGCGGGGTATCAAAGAGGAAGATCGAATTCACTCAGAGTAATTGATGACATCCTTTTGCGGAGATCAAACTCATTAAGACAGGGTTTAACATGCATAGGAACGACTAGAAGGAAGAGTAGTTTAGAGGATGTGGGTTTATCCCATTTTTCGTCAAACTATGCGAGTAATCCCATTAAAATAGCATTAAATGGAAGTATCGGTTTGGAAGTGACCCCTCCAGAAGAGTGTAGTCCTCCAATTATATCGTCAAATACAGCTTTGATAATAAATCCTCCACCTTCGAGTGCAGCAGGAACGGGAAGCACTTTAAGCTTAGCGCAAAGTGGACTCCCAAGTTCAAGTGGGACGTTAAATCAAAGTTTATTGGGAATCAATTTACCGAACGCGCAGTTCGGTGAACCACCGGTGTCACAACAGACGGCGTTACCGTCTACATCCGGTACGACAGATCCACAGCACCTTCAAGGAACAATCGTATGATATAACCTAATGTGGGGGCGGAGACTAAGTGGATTGAGGAACAAGTGGCTCTAAACACAACCTCGTCCACATGTAGCCACCTCTGCGCCATAGTTCTTCGTTTTTAGTTTTATTAGCTAGCGCAGAGCTAGAACTCAACCGCATTTGGCCTTATCGAGATATCATCAGAATCTTATACTAGACTGATCGCGATTCACTCTACGCCAGATCGCGGGTACTGGCTTAGCCAAATTTTTCTTACGACCGTAGAATTTAGAAATACTGACCGAGAGGATTTTCCATAGAAAAAGCCGGATGTGTAAAAAAGAAATTATACAACAACGAAAACAATAACATCTAAACATTTATTTTACTTTATCATTAAAGTAACTCATTAAGCTAATCGTATATTAAAAAACATTTCTTTTTAACTCATCCAAAGCAGATGGCCTAGTCGAATGGAAATATAGCTCAAATAAGTAAAAAAAATGTATAGTTACTACGGGTTTTTTGTAAATACTTTTCAGTTCACCTTATCTCGTTTACGAATCTAAAAAAATATATTGGAGATACACGTTTCTTCCATACGGCTGTAAGACCGTTTGCGCAGCCACTTATCAGTATAATTTGATCAGGTACGGTGAATGAGGGATCAAATATTGTAGTTAGACACAAAAAAAATTATAGCTGTTGGTACTTTCAAATGGATTTAGAACCCCTGTTATTAACACTTGAGTGTGAAGTTTGCGCCACCAATGAAGTTCTAATGACGTTTACCTTTATACATTTTACATTACCCTACTATTTAAGAACTAGTAATCAGATGTTACCCTTCTTAGTGCCACTTAAATTAAATTCTTTTTGGCCAAGATGTATTCTAGAATAAATAAATTTAATAAAAAATTTGAAGAAATATATAAATTGAATTAATAAATTCATTATAGATACATATTGGCCAATTATATTATAAAAAATCAAAACATTGCTTATTTAGCTTAGCATGAGCCGTCCAGCTAGTATCGTAAATATCTAACTGTTAATTATATACTTAATTGAAATTCTTTAATCGCCCAGTACTACTTCTAATATTAATTATTACAACACAAATTTAGTACATGAGACTGTGGTGTGGTCCAATAAATATCGTGAACTGGTTTAATAAACTAATTCACAAACGTGAATAAATGACACAAAAAATATATAAAAAAAGAAATAATGAAACAAATGGATACATATCTAACGATTAAGATAAAATAGTAAATATTTTTCTAGGGAACAGACGGATGGATGTTGATACTATTAAGACCAATGTGCTTTGGTACTATTGCTTTATTTGAAACAAGGGATCGCGGATACGTTTGCTCTTTCCCGATCTCCACATGTAACTATAGTCGTGTTACACTTGGAGTATGTAAGATTGTAAGATATTATTGTAAATAAAACACATTTCGATAACGATAACACTAAATTACGGCTAAAATGATTGTCGTCATTGTTATATTACACTCTTAAATTGGAGTTTAGATTTAGGCGCTTGTATTTACATTAAAAAAAAGTAAGAAACAAGTATAAAGATGATATAATAATAATTGAATTGAATAGCGTTTCCAGATGTATCAAAGAAATTGTATTGTTTTATACGGGGTTTTCACGAAAATATGCTTTTATTTGAATATTCAGACTAAAATTTTAGAAATTTTCGTGAAAGCACTGTATTTAACTCTTTTAAAATTTATAACGTGTATTTCTGGATCCTGAAAATTGACGCACGAAGTTTAGAATTTCTTTATGCTACGTTTAGGATATTGTACAGTAGGGAAAAGGTGTAGCACATTATATACAACGTATTTTCAATATAATATCTTTTATTTCATGTCTATATCAATTCCTAATCCATCTTAATCCTCTATCATTGGATAAATAAATAAATAAATAAATAAATCCATTTATTTCTATAATGCTTACATGCATAAAAACAGTCAAATAAAAGAACCTTTACGATTAAGTAAATAACATTAATTAATTAATTACAATACCAATAAATTTACAAATTCAAATACAAAAATCTAGTACAAAATAAAAGATGTTAATAAACATATTTCTTACTCGGTTGAAATATTTTCGAGAAACAAATCTATCCTGTAAAAAGCTTTCACGATTAAGAATTCTTTCAATCTTTTTTTAAATACATGTGTTGGTAGCGCTTTCCAATCAAACGGTAAGTAATTGTACAGTTTTATACAAAAATATAAAACACTTTTCTGTATTTTAGAATAATTAGTCTTCGGTGGTAGTAAAAATAATCGTTCTGTGCCTCTCGTTTGATGTGAATGAGACAATTCATATTCCGAGAAAAATTCAGGGTAATTAGTTATAACAAAAAGTGCACATTCTAAAATAAACAAACATGGGAACGTGAGAATATTTTGTTCTGTGAAATGAGCTCTACATAAGTCCCGCGGACCTAAACCGAAAACCGCTAGTACACACTTCTTCTGAAGGATGAAAACACGTTCCGACAACACGTTACTGTATTTCCCCAGAAAATAACTCCATATCTCAAACGCAATTCAACACACGCATAATAAACACTTAAAGAGACTCTATCACCTACACATCGCGACACTGTTCGAAGTGCGAAACATATTCTGGATAAACTAGTTGTCAATCCATCAATATGTTGACTCCAGGAAGGCGGCAGTCCATCTTTAAACCCAGGAAGGTCACCTCCTGTTGATAGGTGAGTAATTGTCCTCCAAACATTACTTCCGTCTTAGGTGTATTATTTGCAAAAATCATGAAAGTTGATTTAGCTATATTGAGCTGTAGATTATTTCCTAATAACCATTCGTTTAGTTTTGTTAGATTCTCTCTTTCCATTCTTAAGACCGCTTCCTCACTTTTTCCAGATATAACAGAAGTTAAATCTTCCGCAAATAATACCAGTAAACTGTCAAGTACATCATGCAAATCATTAATGTACAGAAGACAGAAGAAACAAGAAAGGTCCCAAGACTGACCCCTGAGGTACACCGTGAAATACTTCTTTCCACTCAGACCCAACTTCTCCGTACTTCTGCCGTATAAATAGGATTTTAACCAATCAAGGACAACGCCGCGGAAGCCCATTTTTTTCCATTTTATTCGGAAGGATTTCATGATTTACACAGTCAAATGCTTTTGTTAGGTCCATAAAAATACAACCAGTGATATAATTTTCATTGATAGCTGATGTAATTTTATCAAGTATCTGAAAAATTGCACGTCACGTTGATCGTCCTTTTATTTATATACCCATTTTGTGTATCATTTTGTACTTCGTTTTTAATTACAAAATCCATTATTCTTCTCAATGCAATTTTTTCAAATATTTTTGCAATATTTGATATCAACGCAATAGGACGATAGTTTGAAAAAACTGATCAATCTCCTTTCTTATACAATGGTTTAATTACTGTTTTTTTTAAGGCTTGTTGGAAAAACGCCCATAAAAAAAGACAAATTGATAACATTACTCACTGGTTTAGAGAGAGCATCAGAAGAGAACTTCAATAAGGCACCGAAATCTCATCAAAGCCTACCGCCTTTGTGTCATTTAAAGATTGTATTATTTTTTGAACTTCTATTGCATCACTTAAATAAAATGCGAAAGTTTTAGATATTTGTAAGTTTCTTATTCTTAAGGGAACCGTATTAGAAATTTGTATACTATTTATGAAATATGCATTAAGTATATCTATATCATTCATACGCTGGTCGAAATACGTTTAGATCAAAATAATTATTTGATGTTTTGCATCTCCTGAGTGCATTAATGGTTGTCCACATAGCTTTAGATTTATTTGACGCATTTTCAATATAGTTAGTATACGAAGCCTTTTTTGATCTTTCAATTTCTGTCTTTATTTACTGACAGAAATTTTTATAGGCTTCAGGAGGAACAGTCCCATTTAACACTCCTTCAGATAACTGCCTTTTAATCGCTGTTTTATTTTTGATTTCTTCTGTTAACCATGTTTTCACTTATTGCTTATTTCTATTTGGAGATAAAATATCAACAATTTTAAATTTGCTCTGGATATCCAAACTACACTGTTGGAAATAATTCACGAGCACACCCTATATAATCTGAACGCGTGAAGATAAATCCATAATATTTGCGGAGCACAAAGGTTTACTGTAGACGAGTTGACAACCGACCATTATGGTATGGGGTGCGATTACATATGGTGGACGTACACGTCTGCTGCGTGTATAGTAGACCATGACGGGTCAATCATACGTAGATGAGGTGCTACGGTCCGTTGTGCTTCCCTATGTTCGGCGGCTCCCATGTCTGCTATACATGCACGACAACATACGACAGCACATCGGGCGTGTTGTACAGACCTTTGTGGAAGAGCACCGTATACGAATACTTCCATGGCTAGCTCGGTTTCCGCATCTGAAACCGATCGAATATGTTTGGGACATGACTGGTCGGAGACTTCTACGTTATTCGGCTTCCTCGGCTAACGTTGAGGAGCTATGGAGGTGAGTTGAAGTGGCATGGTTGACCATCTCTCTCGCTACAATATAGCGACTTATAGACTCCATGCCACGTCGTGTAGCGATGGTACGCGAAGCTCACGGGGGATACTCTCACTATTGATGTTTCTCCTCCCAGCAGAGTTGTGTCGTTCAGATTATACAGGGTGTGCTCGTGAATTATTGCCAACAGTGTATTTCGAATAATGTTCCAAACATTATTAAAACAGTTTTCAGCATTCTTTTGTAAATGACCAATTTGTGGCATTCATATCATGATGTATGTGCGTTAATATGTCTCGATTTAGAAAACGTTTCTTTATTTTTGTTTTAATTTTTTCAGTCCCACTATTGATTAAAAAGGATATCTCTTGCGCGAAGTGATCTGATAAAATGCAGATACTAAAATGTTACTCTCATATGATACTAGGTTTGTAAAGATATTGTCAATTATAATACCGGATCGATTATTTTTTCTGGTAGTTTTCATAATTAAAGGGTGTAGGTCATATCTCGATAGGGTTTCCAATAGTCTAAACGAAATTCTGTCTTGGATCCCTAAATTGATATTAAAATCACCAGCAAGACAAATTTTGTATTTTAATTTCATTGATAGATCCTGTAATATCTCTTCTAATGTAATAAAGATATCTTCAATATCTCTCATTGATGCACAGTAAGTGCAAAGGATAATTAAATTTAGAGGTGCAATTTTTATTGCACTGCATTCCAAAATCAATTCCTTACTCTTGTTCTTGATTGATAGTAACTCAACATACTCAACGCCAGATTTAATGAGTATACATGATCCTCCATGCTGATTTTTTATTCTAGTAAAATTAGAAGCCATTTCATAGCCCTCAATGATAAGTGGTTCATTAGGTTTTAGCCAGTTCTCCGTTAAAGCTAAAACTTGTACTGGTATATCCAGATGATCAACAAAAATAAGTAAATCTTCAGTTTTTTTTCGTACACTCTGTATACTTTGATGAATGATTGTGTGATTCAATGGTGTTTATCTTACTATTTCTATTTTCTATGGGAATAGGAATCTTTTCGCTAGGTACATTCTTTTTTACCATGTATGACTGTTTCTTTTAAAAATATTACAGCATGGGATCAAAATGGATCAATGTTACAACAATAATCACAACTTGTCGACTATGACCACTTAAAAAACTAGAGAAGAATTGGACTAATCAATGTAAGCTAGATTCTTAACACATTTTGCAATTTTTATTTGCCTGTTGAATACCTGAACATTTGAAGCATGTGGTTAAAATTACCACATAATTTTTCCTGCAATCAAAATTTTCCGCTGCTGGTGTTAATTGAACTGAAATTAGAACTAAAACAAACACTAATACTAAAGCTAACCTAGAAACCTGGGTTAGTTCCTAGACCTAGAAGATGAAACTTTCGGGTTAAATCGTGTATCCTTTGGAAAAGTGTTTGACGTTTCGGTTGGTATATAGTCTCTTTCCGGTCTTCTCTTTCTAGTTCCTTTCTCACCGTGAGGGTCGTTTCAATTTCCCTCCTGTATGCAGAGTCTTGTTCTTGCCGTTACAGTTTCTATTCAGTTTATATCTGCTATTATCAGTACCTTTCTAACTTTCTTGTATTCTGTCTAATCCGTTTCATATCTTTATACTCCCTTTCCAGTCACCTTCTTCTTTGTCCAGTCTTTTTTGTGTATATTCTTTCTATTACCATTCTATTGCAAGGCGTTCTCTTCTCTTTCCAAACTCTATTTAGCCTCTTTCTTGTTGTACCAACGTCTTTCTGTCATTCCCCATTTTCGTTTAATGTCTTTGCAGCTTTTACACTTTCTTTCCAATCCCCCTGCTCTATGTCTACCTTCCTTCATATCTTTCTATCTTTGTTCAGCCTATTTTCTCTATTACCAGTTTTCCTCTTCTCCGTCCAGACCCCTCCAATAACAGTCCCATTATTATCTTTCCAGTGTTCAATCTCCTTCTTCTATTATGACTTCCTTTCCAGTCTTTCACTTCTCTGAACAATGAACAGCCTTTATTGCCTTTACAATGTTAAAGATTAATATTTAGAATTTTTACATTTGAAATAACCTGACCTTTAACGTTCCTTTCTTCGAAGTGTCACTTCGAACTTGTTTCTAAAGATGGTTACAACATCTGAAACGTCAAACACTTTTTCAAAAGACGCACGTGTTATTCAGAAAGTTTCTTGTTTCAAGTTAGTTCTAGTTTTAGTTCAAAGTTTACTTTTACTTGTTCAAATTTAATATTATAACAATCCAGGTATGGGTTTATTCAAGTTGGATAAACAGTTTGTGAGCGTTAATATCTCTTATATGACAAAATATTGAAATTGTATGTCTACAGATATAAACAATTGCAATTTCGTGAATGTTTAATAACAGTTTTAATTTAATAAAACTATGTTATACCAAAAAGGAATGTGATTTCAAGCACAATTTTCTAAAAGTGTGTAGCAAGTCAAATCTATTACCTTTACCAAAATAATCAAGTTTGAGTTCGAGTTCGAGAATATGAAGATTTTATTTAAGAAAACTAAAAAAAAAAATGAACTGGAGAATCTACACTCAACTTTCACGTATTTTTAAATTGTACTGATAGACTGACATTTATAATACTGCTAAATTATGTTTATATGAGTTTCGTAAAGGATGATAAATCATATTACAACTTTTGGTTATCAAATTTTTTGCGGAATATTCGATTTTCAATTTGCTTACATTTTGGATACAAAATCGATAAGATATAGGACGACCGTTAAGAAACTACAAGGTATGACATCTTCAATTAAAAGAATCAGCACAACCACGCTAAAAACGAGAAACTACCATTGTACATCAGCAATTATGGGGAGAACCTAGAAGATGTTCTAAATAAATAATAAGACAATGCCTCATGTAAGCATCGACAGAGGATTGGGAAACGGCCTGGCCGAAAAAAAAATCATTTATACGACGTTCATCGATTCATTTATACAGAAAATAAGTGGGCAAAGTCTTCACAAATGTTTTTACAAAAATAAAAGTCCTCTGAAAAAAGGATTTTCTTGTTGGTCATATCGACGAAATCTAAGCACCTTACAATACCCATAAAACACCTTGGTAATTGTTAAAGGACTGTTCCCGTAGGTCAAACCACCACGGTGATTTCAATCTCTTAACAATTTCAGAATTTATTTGCTAACCTCACTAGTCTCCATCACTGGTACAATTGAGCATGAACTCGAACTGGTCATGGAAGTGGTGACTTTCTGACTTCCAGATATTCAACGGTAAAAAGAAACAATCGTGAGAGAAACATCATTCAGGTATCCCAATTGAAATATTTTGCACCGACTGTAATCCACGAATCCTCCAAGAATAATGGAGAGTTTCGTCACTATATTAACTACCACTGCTTGAGTCTCAGCCGAGCAAATGTTCGGTACTGCACTGGTAAACTTATATAATCGACCAATCGATGCACATATGTCGCTTTTACCGCTGTTGATGAATCAAGTACCTATTCCAAACCATCTCGTTCGGATTAAAGAACATCTCAGCAACAGTTTAATGGATGAAGCCAATGTTTTACCGCGATACATACGAAAAGTAGAGTTGATGCATCTCCAAGATGTCAATATATTATTATTAGTTTCAAACTAAACTCGTAAACTAAACACTTTGCAGATATTTGTGAACAATCCACTACTGATTAAAAATAAAAAGTTCATATTATAATCATAAATAAATACTGGAATATTGTGAAGCATTACCTTCATAATTCAATTCATTTTCATATTTTGCAATACTCGTTTACGGAATACGTTGGATGGAGTTTTTTGATCGCAGAACTTCACATAAGGATGATAAGGTTCGCAGTTTTTTGTTTGTAGAAGAAATAATTAATTTCGAAATGTAGCAAAGAAAAATTTAGTTCTTTTTGTTCTTATACCGATCGCTACACCCAATAACCTTATCATACTCGTTTGCTTCATACGCAGAAAGTCATTTTTTTACAATGTTTTGAATTTACACATACTTTGTTAATTTCTGCTACAATCAGCGATCTTCAAGATTTGGTCAATTGGGGAAGGTTTGGGGAGAGGAATCAATCATGATTTTTAAAATATCATCAAAAAGAAAAATCAAAAATTGTGGACGAGAAGGAAACTGAAAAAAAAGGATGTAATAATCATTTCGATCTTACGTAGAATTTTTGTTTATTAATACGTTTAATTTAATTTAACAACAATACATCATTATTCAGCAAGGAATATTTACAATAATTTTATGTTTCACATTCGTACATGATTCTTAGGTACGATACTATACAATAACTTCTTTTGAATATACATACTTTTTGAGAGAATTTTGTGGCGAATGAATTTTTCTTTATACCTCACAATAAAATCTGTTTGAATCCAAATCTCATTTCTAAAAACAGAAATAAATTTTTAATACGTTCCAGAATCAAAGTAATTTTAAATTTGAATAAAGATAGTTACGGTTTATATAAGATACGGTAAAATACATAATTCGATTATGAAGGCATTAATCAATGGTATACACATGATTGAATCACCATTCAAATATTCAGTTTTTAATAATTATGTTGCCTTAAGTTTACTTCAAAACAATGACAAATCTAACACATGTTAAAGATTAAACTGAAACTAGAAAAAATAGTGATCGCCTCTTGACGAATACTACAATTAAATGTAATGTTTAATTTAAAATTATTTTTTTAAGGTGAAACCTGGAAAAATTGGATGCCTTTATTTTGTCACACCTTATATCACAACAGATACTAATAGTTTAGAGAACAGGATATAAATAAAATAACTAAAACTATTAACATCCCCATTATTTTATTTGTAATGTGCTTAAAATTAACTGACTTACCAAAATTTGTCTAATAGCAAAAATTTCTTTTTACTACAGATGAAAAGCTTTAATTTGTTCAGCAGCTTCGACAACTTCTTGCGTTTTCTGGTCAACTTCACCAACAATATCTGCTTGTTCTTGAACAAATTCTTCGTCCGTTTTCAGTTGTTCCGCAGCATTGGTTAAAACGTCAATATTGGTAATAATTTTATCAGCAACACCGGGGATCTGAATGCCGAATGTTCGTTTTTCATCTATGTTATCAATTGCTTGTATCAATTCTAACATTTTGCCTTTAAGTTCTTCAAATAATTCTGGCACACGTTCGGCATCTGCGTTCATATCTCCAATAGTTTGCATCAATGCATCCGCTTTGGCACTCGCATCATCGGTAACATCTGCCATTTGAATTGCCTGTTCTCTTTTTTCTCCAAATTCCGATATGGCGCCAATTATTTCGTCTAACGCAGCATTCGTTTCCCCAGTTTGTTTTTCTGGGTTTATTTCGGCGATATTTTGCCATGTAGATGCTATTTCGTCTATTTTATCTTTAACATTCTGTAGGTCGGGTACGTTTTTGATGTGCTCAGATTCTTCTTTAATTTTTGAAAGTGTATCAACAACATCTTGTGCTTTTCCTTGAAGTTCTTTTGTTAAATCAGGTAAAGCAGATGGATCGCCCTGTTCCATTTTATCGATTACCTCTTGTACTTCCTGCATCTTCTTTTTGCTTTCATCGATAAAGCTTGGAGGTTTAGTGTCTCCTGCGTCAGGAAGTACGTTTTCAACATATTGCCCCGCACGAATTCCTGTGGGATGATAATTAGCGACTATGTAATAAGATCCTGATTCACTTCTAGCCAAACCAATACCTATATTTTTTGTGTTCTTCCAAACCATTTGACAAAAATGATCAGATTTTGAATCTTCTGGTTCCGCTCCAAAAGTGAAATCATTTTTTTGATCGTACCAAATACTAACTGGAAAGTCTCCAGAGATTTTAAAATGAGGATCGTTTGAATAGACGGACATTATACTTTCTCCATAGCGGGGACGTTTGCGATATAACAAAGCGTCGCCAATTGCCAAAGCTTCTGCCCATTCTTGAGCATAATCGCAAATATCATCGCTTAGAGTTAATGGAGGCACACCATGTTTGTTTCGATATTCATTATGAGCTTTAAGGAATTCTAATCTAAATTGATTACAGTCGCATTCTTCAGGTATCGGTTGACCTTTCTGTACGTTACAAGTAATTGCTAACCTTCCCATTTTAAAATAAACTGTTGATAAAACATAGTATAATCCTTCGGGTAACGTCATGATTTTGTCGTTTATTTCAATTTTTCTACTTAAAGAAATCCTTTTGTTAGTTGTTTTGATATTGTATACATTTTAATTTAAAATATAATAGAAGAAAAATAATGAAGTTACATAAGTCATTTAAGTGAAAGGTGTTTTTTTATCTGTCATTGTGAATTGTGAAGGATATTTTTAGAATAAAAAGCTAAAAATGTAATGGTAACGTTTATTTAAACATGATTATATTGTAACAACACTGGTCATAATATTTCATATTATTTAATTGCGTTTCAACAAGATTATTTTTAATTGAGATTGATACTTAAATTATTATTGCGTGTACTGATAAAATTGCGATTTATAGTCAAAGAATTTATAGTCTTTGGCATACTGTTCTATTGGAAGATATAAATTTCCCTGTTTGCAGTCTTATCTTATCAACATAGTGTAGTATTCAATTCCATCACATCACCCAAAAATATTTACATACATACAAGGGTAAATTAATTAATTAATTAATTATCAGTGCGTTAACATAAATATTATAAGAAATACTTGTTTTAAATATTAAGATATGTAGGGAATTAATCCTATACAGCAAAATGTAGATAAATGTATATATCAAAAAGTAGAAAATTAATTGGTATACATAGCGTCTAAAATTAAAATTTTACATTCATTTTATTAAGTTAATAAACATGCATAGATATTATAGAAGCTTAGTGATTGTTTATCGTGATTGGAACAATATTAATTACCATAATAATTATCACAAATCTTCTCAGTTCTATATTAAATACTATAATACAATGTGCATAATATTTTATATAACAAGTTATTTTTAATTACTTCTTTGGTAAATATATTCCCGTTTGATACGATGAATCAAAATTAATAATAATTTATCACACAAAACGAGTGCGTGTTAATTACTTGATGTGCTTAAAACCAAATTTATTTACCTGATCTTTACAAAGCACTGGAATGGCATATAATACTGCATAACTTTGGCATAAACTTTGATGACGTTGTAGGCTATTTAGGGACGGACCATTGGGATTTAATTTTTGGGGCAGATACATTCGCAACAAATTGACCAACAATATTTCCACGTGGTTTATAATTTGCAACAACGTAGGTATACCCTTTATCATTTTTAGCCATATCAATTCCGAATTCAGTGGTACCACGCCATACAACTTGAGTAAAGTGTAACGTTCCAAAATTAATTTTTTCCGCTCCAAAAGTGTACTCTTCTACTTCATCATACCATTTTCTAATAACATCTCTAGCAGATGGTTCGTGACTAAAATCTGATGAGTACATCGAAAATATATTTTCGCCGTATTTGTTATTGCGACGATGGGACATTTGTTTTAATCTTGCACATTCAGTCGCCCAAGATTTTGCCTGATCACATAACTAAAACAAAAATTTTTTGTTAATAAAATTACTATAGAGGTGTCTTAGTAGAATGTTGTTGAGTATAGCCACAAGAGTTTTTTATCTGAATTTAGTAATATTTTAATCTGATGTGATATACATATAGTGATATTAAGATGGAGAAAGTATGATTTCATCTACCTAGTTAAGGCAAGGTCGCTTGTGGCCGAGCTGCTACAATTATAGAATATTATATTAACTTAAAATATTAGGATCATTCGAGTTGACTACAAAATTAATTGGTAGGGGAATTAGTGTAATAATAGAGAAGGTGCTGAATCCTCAATTGATACTGAACACATTCCTACAACTACATACTAGGGTAACAGTATCTTTTTAAATAAAAACAGTTTCTTCCTTTTACGATCGAATCACGGCGTCTTACAGTAAACCTGTAGACACAAATATAAAAACAGCATATTTTGCAGGCACATTTTGTTATGTATGCGGCTGTTGCATAATTTTTTGTTAATAACAACATTCGTCTATCAATCTTCAAAAGCTTATTTTAAAATTCTAAATGGTGGCCAGAACAAAAACTGGCCAAATAACTAACCGCAATTTTTCCCTAATGTAGCCAGAATGGCGATTGTGTTTACATAACTCCCAGCAAATTTCAAACATATTCTGTTGCATAATGGCAATGTTTATGAATCGATGTCAAGTGGAAGCACGTAACGAAAGAAAGATGATATCAAGTTTCTATACTTTCTCAACCGTGAAACTCTGAAAACATTGCTAATGATCCAATCATCAGAATAGAAAAGATCATTTTTGGTCAACTGTATCTCAAGGTTGGCATAACGAATTTGAAAAAGCTTGACACATAGCTTCTTTTTTCTTTGCTCTAACTTAATAATAATAATAATGCTGGATTGAGCGAAGACACAGATAGAGAAAAACAACGAAACATCAATCACTTAACAATTATATAATTCAAGCTCAATGGTTGCAAGAGCAGAAAACAGCAAAAGTGCCACTGATTTTACTTGCAACCTATAAAATCAGCAAACACAACAAAAACAAAATTGAGAATTACAAAAATCATTAGCATTACAAAAAGGAAGATGAGTGATGACGCCGCGCGGATATCTTTCATGGCAGTTAGACAAAACTTCCTTGTCATCATAGAAGCTCTGATCTATAAAGCTCTGGGTATTACAATACCGTTGGTTTATCGAAATCTTGATTACATTATACATATATCATGGTAGACTACTTCTTGTACATCAACGGAGTACCCCTAGAAGGTTTGAAAGTGCTTTCGAATAATATCAGGGGAATGTTCGATAACGACATAGCAGTAAAAGACTCGTGAAACATAAGTAAGGTATCATATCGAAATAGAGATGGCAAATCACGCAATAATAAAAGTAAAAGCACATGAAACAAATACAGCCGTTGCTGAATCGATGTCCACCCAAAATTTTTGGCAGTTTTAAAAAATGAAATAACGTTACCATCATGCATAAAAGTGAGTGTAGGCGTTGACTTTTGCAAGTGAAGGCTAAGTTATCAGATTGAATAACTTGTATTTTAGCAACATTTACCTTCAGGTTATTATACTTAGACCACTTTAGAACCTTTAGAACCACAGCATCTTGAAATGTGACATAAAATGTTATCAGTAACATATTCCCCAAAAATTGCACTGAGAAACATCACATTTGATTTCTAGAAATAGAAGATCAGGTAAATGATAATGCGGATTGATTCTTCGCACATACAGTAAGCGTTTAGAATGGTAGGATCAAAAACAGAAGTTTGAATAAGAAACAAACACATCATCAGATAGCGTTGTCAACATAAGAGATAATGGTCTATCTTAATAAGGTCATCATATATAACGTTGGATAAGTGCTGGCGTTATGCTATGATTGATAACTTGTTCAAATGAAGTTCTTCAAGGTACACTAGAATTAGATAATGTTAATGCCAGTTAATCTGCAGTTTATCAAAGAAGAGTATATTGTTATCAATACGTATAAGATTGCAATCAGATTTCATGAGCTGCAAGGGGATATGGTGTTAAACATCAACACAGATCAATTAGAAAATTGAAATTCAAGCAATTGACCATGGTACTAACGCTGACCTCGCTGTTAAAATTTTTAATTTTCTTTGTTGTACGAAATGCCAGGAAATTAAAGTAACTTATGTGTTTTATTTCAAATATTTCATTATAAACTTCAATTACACTTTCGACAGGTTGCAGATGTATGTGGCGCATGCGAGAAAATAGCCATAAAACTTAACTTTCTCAATGAAAACGCAAAACGCGTTTAGCTGCAAAACTATGAGTATACAAAACGATGGCGTTTTACAAACAAATGAATGAGTTTAAAACTGTTTATCGAGACGATGTTGCATGTACTTGTTCCAACTATATACAGAATCTGCCTTTCCTGTATAATTCCTCTACAGGAAGTTTTTTTACCTACGGCAACTAAGGATGTATGTATGACATGAAGAAAACGACATCGGAGTTTCATTTATATCATGAAAGTATGAGACATAGACTACCAAACAAAGTTTCCTGAATGATGCAATACAATGATTACAAATAATATATCAATAACAGCAAAATGGTTGTATTTATTTTCTAATGGTACTAGACGACAATGCGGGAATAATACTGTTATCCGATACTTAATGACGCTGGAATATTTTCGACGATTTGACAAAGATAAAACCCATGTAAGGAGCATGTAAGCAGTCAATCATTTCTCCTCTGCGATTATAATTTTGGTGTTAAGACACATTTGAAACAACAAACTGTGTGTGTATACACACTCACAGAGTATGTATAAAAGTTGGAGACGAGGTTCAAACTTCATTTTACAAATGTAATTCACGAAGAAATTTTTTCAATTGATATCAAAAACTGCTTTAAGAAAATGCATACAACAAAAGTTCCATCTACTGAATCTTTATGGACGAATATTCCTAAAGAAGTAACAGAATAGTTCAGCATATCAAAACACTACATGTTTGAGAGCATCAAGCACAATAAGGCAAGTAGCAAAGTGAAAATATACTATTCCTTAAATAAAGCGCACTTGATAGGCATGAAGTGTCCGATTAACACAAAAAAAGGGGAGGACATAATATATTCTGAGAGATAATATACCTTCTATGAAGAGATTGGCGAATGGCTTCTAAAGGGCGGCGAAGAAATTGATTAAAAGGCATTACTTCAAATCTTATGAATGTTGTACATAAGTGCATAGGAATGAAATCCAGGTATAACCATTACAATCAAACCACTTTAAATAAATTTAATTTAGCCATAACACTGTTCTGTCTTCAACGATGATTTTATCCGTTACAGCATCTTACAATGGTTACAGAAAACGAAAGTAAAAATGAATTTTCTAACAGCAATAAGAATAGAGAGTGAAAGCAACCGGATATAAACAAAAAAATTTGTACTAAAGTAATCGTAATTCTCTTGAAGAGTTGTTTGACCAAATATTAAAATTATAGCAGCAATATAATTTAAAATACACCTACCTCTTTATTCAATTTTAATGGCGGTACTCCATGTTTTCTTCTAAATTCATTATGAATTTTTAAAGCATCAAGTTGGAACTGAGAAAATTCACTACTTATCTCCGAAAGAGGTGAACCATCCAACAATGAATTGGCAGCGGCATGATCGCCATTTTCCTGCTTTAATTGATTTTGAGTTTCGTCGATGACATCCGGAACGTTCTTAACGTATTCTCCAACAAAATTACCCGCTGGATTATAGTTTGCAACAACATAAATATAACCTTGTCTACTTTTAGCCCAACCAACTCCTAAAAGTTTGCTGTTTTTCCAAATAACTTGAGTAAAATGACCAGTTTTTAAACTGGTTGGTTCTTTTCCAAACGGATGATCTTTTTTTTCTTCGTACCAAGTATCAACTGGAGTATGTCCAGTTATTTTGAAATTGGGATCACTGGAGTACATACAATAAATATTTTCCCCGTAGGGTGAGTTTTTACGATGTTCCAACACATTACGTGCAGCCAAATCTTCCGCCCATTTTTGAGCTTGTTTGCAAAGGTTTTCGTCCAGCAATAAACCTTCGACACCGTGTTTGGCTCTGTAATCATTGTGCGCTATTAAAAAATCATTTTGGAAATCACCTTTAACGATATCATTAATTTTTTTAGACTCAGATTCTTTTGGTGTAGGCTGTACTTCGTTGTGTTCTGAATTTACGACAAGATTTGATAAACTTTGTTCTAATGACGTCGAGTCATCGGAATGTGTAGTTATAGGAAATACGTTGTTTGAAAACTCTCCGACTACATTTCCAGGAGGATAATAATTGCAAACGACTATAACTCTGCCATTTTGCTTCGCCATACCAATACCTAAATGTTTGGAGTCTTTCCAAACTACTTGAGTAAAATGACCGGATGATAAATCAAACGGTTCTTCACCAAATATAAACATTTTACTTTCTTTGTACCAGTTATCAACTGGTTCATTACCAGGAACGATAAAATTGACATTAGTAGATTGAACGCAATAAATATTTTCGCCGTATTTAGTTCCAGGGCTATGTTCTAAAACACCCCTTTTCATCAGTTCATCTGCCCACGATTGACTAGATTTACACATTTCCGCGTTTAATTTTAATGGTTCAGCATCGTGCTTTTCTCTGTATTGATTGTGGGCTTTAAGACACTCTTCGTTGAAATCCATTATTGGTTTTCTTTTCTAAAAATAAAAAAAATCATTGTTATGATAATTAATATCTGTCGAAAATCTACTGCGCCCATCATACTATAAAACCAATGTAATGTTAAACACATGATTAATTTGAGTGTTCAAATATTTGTAGTTTTATAACAAAAAATTATTTGTACTCAGAAAATTGAGTATGTCAATGATAGTATTAAACAGTACTTCGCGCATAATGATTTTTGCAACTGAGAATTTGGAATGTTATGAAGAAATAATAATTTCGATTTGAATTATTTTTGATTAATGACAAATAAATATCATCGACAGTTGTAGATTAATAATTAATTATATTAAATTAAAATGAATACTACTTAATTATTTTAAATAAACTATTAAAACGGACTGAATCATTTCCGTTAAGATAAATGTTATCGCTACTTTTTTACGAAATAGAAAAAAATATAGGCATATTTCGAATACACTTCATTGTACTCGTGCTAAATAATAGATCGTTAAGCTTATTTTGATAAACCCACTCACGCTTAATAGGCTTTGCTAATTGAGAACAACGGTATCGCCTACAACGCGCCTTTAAACAACAATAAACATATCAATTTCAGAAATTGTAAATTGTTACATCGTCTTTAAACGTCTAATCCATTTAATTTAATTAAATTGAAGCAAATAAATATAGAATAACAAACCCTTGGTGTTATCGTTTTTTGAGGTTTCTTCTTTTTAGAAACAATAGAGATAATAAGGTCTTCAGTAGATTTTTGTTCGTCCCTTTTCTCGGTGGTTACTTTGTATTCAGTTTTGGGTCCTCTGAATGTTTCTATTGTTTCTCTTGTAATAGTTTCCAATTTAGGCTGCTGTTTAAAAATAAAAAAAAAATGATTTAAATTTAAGGAGTAGATACGGAAAAAATACATAGAAAGTTATTTTGCATAGCTTAATTTTGTTGTTATTAAAGTCGGCGATATGGAAGAGCGAATTTGGTGACATTGTAAGATCTTCGGACCGTGAATTTAAGGCTACGCTTGCTAATGTTACGTCAATTAGGTATGGAGATTATTTTTTGGTGAGAACTGGGTCGCATTAAGCGAATTAAAACGTTACTAATCATCAAATAAATAAAAATAATTTCATTTTATAAATTGATCTATCGAGTTTTTTGGAGAGAACAAGCTTATGTACTTAAAGACTTGAAATAACTTATTGAAAATGTTATTAACATTATCAGTGCATTGAGTAAATCAAATGCTTACACTTAAATAAGTTCTTTATTAAAAAAAGAAATCTAAAGTGTACTTTAACTTCACTTTAACTATAATTAATAAAATAATTGAAAATTAATTTGATAGATTTTATTTATTTTTTTGTAATATGAGACAAATAAATAACAATGATTCATAAATAACAATGTTATGATTTTTTGAAAATTATCCATTTCCTTACTCGTTTCAAGGTAAACTAAAAAAAGGTCATCATATCAATTAATTTGACAATTTATAATTTTTTTTCATTTTGCTCATCATTTTTTAAATATACATTTTAAATTTTATATATTATTTGAATTGTTTCATAGTTTTCATCATCATTAAATATCTCCTAGATTTGTGTGAAATGATGTGTAATCTGCACATAAAGAAATCATTTAATTTTCTTGTATATGAAATTTTCATGCCATCTAAAAGGTGTTATTATTTATTACTTTCCTTGTGTACTTTTTAGAAAGCGGAGATTAACCCCGAGATTCAAACTTTAATATGTTATATAACTCATTCCTTTATTATCAAAATTAAAGTCAAGACAATTTTTTAAAGTTTTGATACTTTTCATTATGAATTGTATTATATGAACATGTCAAATTTTCAATTTTAATTTTTCTGAATAAAAAGTATTTGGGTTATTACCGATTAATACATACAATATTGAAGAGTATACTTTAAAGTTCAATTTGATATATAACTGTTTTCTTTACTATTGCAATTAAAGTCCGATTATTACCGATTAGTATAAGAGTATATTTTAAACTTTAATTTTATATGTATATCAAACCAACTGATTTCTTCATTCTCATAAATAAAGTCTCCACGATTTTTTAAAGTTTTGATATTTCCCATTATAAGGAGATACTATAAGTTGGGTTAGATGTAATTGTATGATTTTCAGTTTTAATTTTTGAGGAATAAATAATAGGAATGTTGCCAATTTTTACACACCAACTCAAGAGTATATTTTAAGTTTTCATTTGATGTATAAGCTTAAATGTATGCTAGTTGACCGAGATTCAACCTGCAATTTAGGACGAGATCGTTCATGCAAAATATTCTCTTCTCTCTTACTGGAACCACATGTCGTCTACTTCTATATCGTTCATTTCGGGCCAAAAGAAATTTGTTATCATGGATCTGTAGCGCTCTCCGTTGACGGTGATAGCCTCTTTAGCGTAGTTATTTAAAAAGTATGGACCGTTGATGGCGCAAAATCAGCACCAAACAGTCACTTTTTGTGGATGCATTGTCACCTGGTGAACCTTGCATGGATTGGCTTAGTCTCATATACGTCAATTTTGTTTCTTAATTTCGCAAAAATGCGCCTCATCGCTAAAGATGATTTTTTGGCTAAAATTGGAATTTTCTTCCAAACGCTCTCAAGCCCACTCAGCGGAGAAGTGGCGTTGTCTATTAAGTGTATTAACTTTAAGCTCCTAGGTCACATATCTTGTACACGCCCAAGCGCAAGTTCCAACGCAAAATTCGCCAAGTTGAAGTCGGTGAGGAACCGACTGCCTCGGATTCTTCTGCACACTTTTACGGACATTGGTGATGTTCTCGCTAGATTTGGCATTCCTTTAACATTGCCTGATTGATTGAATTTGGTCACCAAACGTTGGAGAATCGACTTTAAAGGGCAACTGCGCCTGGCATAAATTGGGCTAACGAACACTCATTTTGATAATAAAGGTTTACTATTAGGATGTACTGCTCAATCGTATAACTTGCTATGATGATTGGGCATCAGTGACTGAATAATAAACAACAAACTTGACAGAGGCCGCCAAAACAATTTGGCTACCACAGATTGTAAACTTCGACCCGCCACTATTGGAAAACCCTTTACATGCGAGCTACAGCTTAATTGTGATAATTTGAAAGGAATTTTCTATTTGGACTTGATATGATGGTCCAAATGGCAGAATTTGTTCTACATATTATATAAGTTTTGTTTGAAGAATATTCAAATATAATAGTGATAATGAGCGATAAAGTCTTCCAACGTCGGATGTATCCTTGTGCTATGGTTAGACTTATTGGTGTAATTGGAGTATACTGAGAAAACGAGAGATAAACATAAAGAAAGTTACTAATACAACTACTTAAATAGTGATGAATATGTTTCGATATTTTATGGTGCAAAAGATTGTCAGACTTTCAATAAGCTAAGATCCTCTTTTTCTTTAAAACTGCATAAGCCGGCAATATTTTTGGGTTCTCCTTACAAGCTATAAGATGTTGCAACCCATCACTCCTTTTCTTCCATATAATATGAAACGTAATCTATGCGTCACGATTTTATTTTACAAAGTGCTGAAATTTATAACATCAGTTGTAATTTAAGATTATCACGAGATTTTAGAATTAAGACTGATAGTTACTCCAACATAGTTAATAGGCGTTTTCGGACGTGAATGGATACGTACAAAATCCCTGCACGCGGGATTTCTATATTTATCGGTATTTTAGAGGAAGAATGTCTATGAACAGTTGTCACATATGTCACAACGGATTAAATAATTATTGCTTTCCGTGGAAAATGTACTTTCAGAATGTGTTTTTCTATACAAATTGTTTAAAATGATATGTTGATATTTATGTGACGAGTAGCTTCTATAAAAACTGTATCTAGTTCCACTTAGATTGTAGCTCCAGTAATTATAGCCATGCTAGAGAAAATCAATTAAAGCGGTTGAGAGTTACTCAGAGTAAACTTTTGCGTAACTTTTTGGGCACCATGAATTCTATGCTAATTACAGATCTCAATATTGAGCTTTTAGAATCGTTTCTCTATATACGAAGATAAATATTAATATTTTTAGTATGTGCACGTTTTTGGAGATGCAAATTTCTGCTACCATTTATTGTTATATATAGATTTCTTCCCTCAATCTGAAAAATCTGTTGATTATTTTCCATCTATACAAATTGTACTACCACATTTTAGCAAAGACAGCAGTTTAATCATTTATAATGATATTTCTAAGTTATCTTAGAGTTACGACGATGATTTTCTTGTGTAATATGTAGACATCGTCAGTTTAAATTCGATTTTCTATATCACATAGAATTTAATAGTCTTAAAGTACACTTTATCTATTGCTTGAAACAAAGAGTCAATATTGTTTTACTACGTAGTGTTAGCTTTATGGTAGAGATATCATTATGTCAAACATCACCTTTGCATACTAGATATATATAGTATTTTTGATTCGTAGGTTTATCAGGGTATCTCGTGCAGATTTGTATGAGTTGATGTTCTAGCTAAAGACAGGGTGGAAATGTAATTGATGTGGGACTTTCCACTGAATGTTGTTTCACTATGCAAGAGCTACAATACTCATTCAGATATTTTATAGGCACCCAACTGTTTTAATTGGACAATGCTACGTGGTAATGGCTGTGCCAAGTAGATTTTTGGTTAGTTTCGCCAGGCTTAAATTGCGACATGGTCATTTTTGAATCCACACCAGTATATTTCCATCTCAATGTTATTAATCGTCGATGTTATAATATGGCATCACCATGCCACTCGATCTGGGAAGTGTGTTCAATAGCAATTATTACGTCATTTAAATAATTTTTAGTTATAGATGGGCAGTAATCAAATAATGTAAAATGAAAGGTATTGACAGTTTAATTAATTCAACAGAGAATGACAACCCCCAGCAACCACATCCCACTGATATACGATTTCCAATATTGGTTCACAATAATTAAATTGTAATGGTTGTTTGTTACATCCAAATTATGGTTGACGAATTAATGTAACTTCAATAATATAGATCATTATAAAAATGTACAATTCAGAATAAAATTAATTATGATAATTAAGAAATGAGTTAAACACAAATTATAAAAATGTGTAATATTTTTTGTTCAAAGTATAGATACACCAGTATTTATGCATAAATAAATATATAAAAAACTTACAAACTTGAATTTTAACTCTAATAAATGATATTCACTTAAATATTCACTGATAAACGGTTATTTGAGAATAAAGTCTATATCTTAATTGGCTCTGATTTTAAATGGCAGACTTTATCTTTCTTTTTTAATTTTTAGCTATCTAAAATCTGATAAGATGTATAAATTAGCAAACTATGAAAACTTAGAATTGTGTCTTATCTTGTAAATATAAGAATAATAAAATTCATATTATAAAAATAAAAAACATTATTAACATTAACATAAATAAACTGAATACCCAGAAATTAAAATCAAAAACTTCCATAACAGTTTTGATTTGAAATTGGAAGTTATATAAGTACAATGCACTTAAAAAAATTATTATATCTTTATATTTTTTGATAAGGCACAAACCTGATTTTTCCGAGAATGTAAATCTGTTAAATCTAAATCTAATCCTATTTCAAACCATTTCAGCGAAATATTAAAATAATGTTTAAACACATACCTCTCCTTTTTTCATTGAAGCGAAAGTCCTTTGATCGGTTTTTCGTACCATAACAATCCTGCTGGAGCCATCATGACCATGAACGGTTTTTCGAAATCGATTTAGGTCCGTAAGGTTCGTAGGGAAAATGTATCGCTTCCTGTTGAAAGACGGCATATTATTCACCAGAATAATACAAGATTCCATTAAAAATTAATTTTAAGAAAATGTTAAATAATCGCGATCTGTTTTATTACTAAATATTTCAATGATCCATACAGGATATTAAATTTTATCCTGTCGCAGGCAAACATCGCTCGCCAACTGAGGCATAATAAACTCGGTGTCAAGTTGCTTTCCTTTCCTTCGTTACGTTTTGTCGCCCAAGTGTAACCGATTTCAACAAACAACCAAGTTACAATTCGATCTACAATATCTGTATCATTTAATTTTTTTTTCAATTAATTTTCTTTAATTTATATTCTCATTAAACTTTGAAATTAATCGGAAAATTAACTTTTTAATCATTAAGATTTCGATTAATCTAGAAGATGTATATAGTAGGGTATAATAATTTCTTTCTTAATGGAAACATGGTTTAACAGGAAAAAAAATCGAAAGTAATCGGTCTTTATCAAATGATGTGCGATGTAGAAAGTGGTGCTCATCGAGGAGAAAACAAATAAACTTTGCGGATTCTTAAAAAGAAATTTAATTGCGTTGACAGAGAGGAGTCAACCACAGAGCGAGTAATTATTAAAAAACGATGATTATAAAGCGTAACGAACGTCTTTAGCCTTGATGTGATGCTGTGTTAAGTTTTGTATTTCGCATTGCACATTTAAAAACCTTGGCATTGTTAGATCTTGTTACTTATAAACATTCTAAACATTCTAATATTTTTTGCTAAATAAAATATTAATAGATAAGAGAATAGGTTTCATTTTAAAATTTAATTATTGGTTGTTTTGATTCAATTTCAAAACGTATCAACGAACATAATAGATTTATTAACTTCATCGCGGTGGGATTTTTTCCTCAGCAATTTGTGGACGTTACAAAGCAATTCCGATGTTATCGCTCGAACACCGACCTGTAATCACTCTCGGCAAACAATAGGAAATTGCTCCGTCCGTTTGTCTATGGGATACCACCTTTTAGTGTATTTGCATAAACAGAGTAATAAAGATTCCTATTTATAAACAAATAATCTTACGTAATAATGATGATCAAATTTATTAAAAAAAACAAATTTAAAATATATTTTAGTTTTAATTAATTCATTGGGAATGTTTAACTAACTCTATCTAAAACTTCTGGAAAGGTTTAAAAGGGAATATAAAAGCAGCTCGTTTATTTCATGATAACATCTGATTAAAAGCTCGGTTTCGAGCTTCCTTTGCACGCGATAGTGAAATACCCGCATGAATTCTTCATGTAACCTTGACCAAGGTAATTGATTGTTTTGTTATGGTGTAGTGTGTGGTGTATTAGGTCATTTGGCCAATAGAGTACTCGGGGATTTCTTCACGATTCAATTTTAATCATTTTTGTGTTGAAATAATTAAATTAAATGTTCTCACACATACAAACAATATGAATAAAAGCAAATTTCAGAAAATTATATCTGAAATGAAAACAAACACGAACATAGTGACCACGTGTAACAAATTTAACTGTTTTTGTATGACCATGAACACGATTTCTATGGGTTTTGTATACCAGGTAAATTTTATTTTCTCTTAATATTTTATTTTTTTTTATATGAGATAACACAAAAGCCAAACAATTTTCTCAAAACAATATTAAACTACATTTTGATCCTATAGTATTTGATAGTAGTTATATTAAATAGAAAAAATCTACTTGTGTGCTTGTACTTTACAAAATATTTCGTATAGAAAAGAATATTTCCGTTGGATTTCATCTACCAAGTGAGTATCAACCACTTGAAATCGATAATTATCAGGATCGATATTACAAAATACATTATCTATCCATGTCGACAAATTACAAGTGATCCTTAAACGTTATGTCACTATGGAGTTCAAGAAACCGACGGAGTTATACTCTCATACTTCAAATTGTTCTTACTTATACCGTCCGGACATTAAGTTGATACCCGATAAAGTAGGTTGTTTGTGTAGTTATTGATGCATTGTACGTTGATACTATTTCTATTTCTATTATCACAATTTCTACCACGATTTTATGTATATCTTTTTCGACCAAAAAGTATGTTTTGTTACCTTTGCGTTTCAATGCAATTAACCGTGAAGTGATTATCAAAAACATTGTATTTAGTACTATTAATATAACAAACTTTAAGTCTTCATATAAAATATAAAACTTTAATTATCATCACAAAAAATAATAATCATAAAAAACGCTGTAATAGTTATTTATATTACAAGTGGGCTTACTGTAATAATGCTGTAGCCCACGTGTGATATACAGCATTTTATCTACAACTGCTAAAAATTATTAAAAAATCAATTTCTTTAAAAAAGTCTATTTGACATTTATAAAAATAGTTTGAAATGATTGTTGACAATTTTGAATTGTCAGTTTCAACAACATGTTTACTCATCTGGAATAAGTGTTTTGAAATGTAAAAACATAACAATTAATGTTTATAATAAATAGTATTGTTTCTCTGTAAGTAGATAGCACTTTTTCTTTTGTATTGTTGCTCGTTTCAATAAATTAAGTCTGTTCTGATTGGGCTAAAAATGCGTTACGTAATGAAACCAGTGCGGTAATGAACTTCATTACGTAACTCAAATCACCTCAAATGAGTGCGGTAATGATGACTTATCCAAGTAGTCGTAGATAAAAAATATTTCCGTATTCTAGAAAGATGAATGATTACCCTACTAAGCACTTTCTGCATGTATATTATTAGACTAGGAGCAAATTGTAGTTACTCTATTAGCTGAGCAATAAATGACACTGGTTCTGTAATTTTGAACAGGAAATCACTTGAAAGGAAGGCTTTTTGGCAGTTGTCTCTTATTTTAGAAGATAGTTTCAACTAAGAATGTTATGTTCTGTAAAAACTTTGTTACCAATGAAGAACTCGTGAAAATTGTCTTGAGTCCAATGAATTGTTTGAGTAGTAACATTTTGCCACTGCCAGTAAATAGTTCAAGGAACTTCAAAAAGACAGACTCATCCAAGGAAACTAATGCTGGTCTCCTTTTGTCTTTTTCAAAGTATGTAAACAATAAGTATGTATTACAATATATTCACTTTTTGCATCAGATGTCAACCAAAAGTTTATGCCAAATTTATCTGGCATGTATTGGGTGAAATTACATTTAGCTTTAGATGGGAACAGCTGTTAATTGTGATATTTGTAGCTGAGTTATCAAAAGTTACCCTCGCTTATTTGTGTTATTTAAACATAACTATCTTAGTAGTTCCATCAAGCAATTTGGGCTCATAGATATCGAAAGAAAATGTAGAACTCCATTTCTTATTTCATAAATTCCGTACACATTATAATGTATTCCATAATATGGATTGTCAACTACTAAATGAAACGCTGTGCTTATCTTACCCTGTATAATATTTTTTTAGCTTTCCAGTAGGACCAGATACATCTTTGAAAATAGTATATGAAGATATGTTTCATTTTTTCCAAACTATCAATTTCATTATTCTCCTGTTCATTATTTTCTTCACCGTCGTCTTCAGAATCTAACAGCAACCTCATTTTCTTTCGTTTTCTACTTCCATTCAAACTATTTTTCTCTTCTTCTTCAGTGTTACAGAAGTATTTTATACAGGGTGATTCAAAAAACCGCTGACAGACTTCTAGGGCAGGTAATACATCAAAAATTAAAATGAAAACTCTTAATATACATGGGGTCGCAAATGTCTCCTTAACGAGATATAGCGGGCCAAAGTTTCTTTAAAATTAAACATTATTTGCAATAAAAACTGCAAATTTTGTCAAACGAGTAGTATTTTCGTGTAAAGTGATCAATTATCTATCAATTGGTCTCTTACAAAAGTTTGATTAAAGCAACAGTTTTTGATTGAATTAACAAATTTTTTACAAACGTGTTTTTCTTAAAAACTATTGCTTTCATCAAAGTTTTGTAAGAGACCAATTGATAGATAATTGATCACTTTACACACGTAGAGAGCAATGGCGTAGACAATATTTCTGAAAAAGTGCTTTTTATTGCAGATAATGTTTAATTTTAAAGAAACTTTGATGCGCTATATCTCGCCAACGACGCATTTGCGACCCCATGTATATTAAGACTATTCATCTTAATTTTTCGTGTATTATCTACTCTAGAAGTCTGTCAGCGGTTTTTTGAATCACCCTCTATATTCATCCGACTGATCTTCTCTTTCAGCTTGAGAGCCTTCATAAATTTGAGAGTGTCCGTCTTAACAAATGCATGATTCATTACGCTGTTCAATCACTTCGTCACCACTGTCATAATCCTCTTCAGTTCTGGATTTTTCGGAGAATTGAGATTCTCCCCGTATAGTTTCACCAACACTGTTTTTACATCATTCCTCATTTTCGGGGTTAAAACATTAATGGACGGAAGGAAAAATAATTGTTATATTCATCAGAACTTATTATATGATGGATACAACATTTATTTTTGAGCAACGACTTGTTGTCTTCTAACAGTTCATCAGTGTTATAAACACTCATAGCCTTCACTCCGCAGTGGATATGCTGTAAGTTAGTTTTTTTTCTGTACGGTTTGTTTATAACATCCACGGCCCCCACTCTTGGTAGTGTTTTGTGGAATTGGTGTAGGAGCATATTTATCAATTATGATTCTTTTCGTATATCTCGTATTGTCAACTTTATTATAATACCCTTCTAATTGTTTAATGGTATAAAGATGCTAGGCTTCATCTAACACGTGAAGTATTCCATGCTTTTTATAGATATCATAATAAGATTTAGGGTCTGTGATAAACAGTTTTTTTGCAAATCTTTTTGAACTTCGCCAAATATCCTATCTGCTGGAAAATAACTGTGACCTCTAACAGGAAAGGTTAAAATAATCTTCAGGGCCAGGCAGAACATCGTGTGTGTACCACGAATGACTTCTTGTTTTGGCCTCCACACCCGACAGCAAAAAGACGCAGGACTTCTACTCCAGACATATTTGCAGAGGTTAAATACGACAGACGAGATAATCTAATTTTGAGAATTCGTTGAGAATTCGTTGGTATTCCGCTTTAAGTGCAGCACGATCAGCAGATTTTTCATTTTACAGGCGATTTTTAACGAGTTCGCAGGTGCTGCAGATATCAGAAGCCGGGAGGAAAATCCTGTGTTAAACTTAAATCAACTGTGTTGATTATAAAAAATTCGCCAAAGCATGGATTTACTAGACTTCATATTCTCCGGTGCTGTATTATTGTACATTGTCCATTATTTTTTTATATTAAGCTCATATGACAAGTATACTCTCTATATTTTTTTCTGTTGTAATGCGATACCTCAGTCGGCAAATCGCCAAGAAATTTCCTTATACTGTCCTTTTTCTCTATACTCTTGCCACTTTTTTTCTATCACATCATTTGTTCTCTCGAAGCACAAGACCCTCAAATATTACGAGTGTATGTATGTTAACTTGATGCATACTAATAATTGAACCAGCCAAGAAGCACGGTTTACACACTGATACTGGATGTTTAGAAGCTCTCACATGAAAATTACAGAAAGCTTATTACGTTAGTACGAGATTCTGCTCTCGTTCTTCGTCTTTTTTATACAATAAATATATAGATGAAATAATAAATACCACAATCTCTGCATTGACATTTATTTATTTATATCAAAAAATCAGAAACTTTAAATGCGTCAATTTTACGCAGACTATCATTATTTGATTTTTTGATTAAATATTTAAATGTTTAATTTCAATTATCATTTTTTTTTACTGAACATGAATTAGTTTCACTGCAATGTAAACAATTCTATCTAGAACTTTCTTTTAAACAATTTGACACGATTCTTAATCTTTTTAGAACAGACCTCACATCAATTTTCATTGGTTTCGGTTTCAATCAATTTCAGATAATACCATAAAGATTTAGAATCAAGATAGTTACAACAATTGATGGTCTTATTTAAAGAAATAGTTAAGTCTAATTATGAAAAATAATATTTGCACTTCATATATGATTTCTTTTCATGATGAGACAATCCAAAGGGAAATTTTTAGATACTGACATAGACATACCTGATTTTTCTTTAACTCTTAAGTTCAACCAAAATATCTAAAAACATTAAAACTAAAAAACAAAAATATTTCAATTTAGCATTTCTACACACACGCAATGATGGTTACCTCAAGAGAAATGAATTTTAACCTGTTACTTTAATCGACTCATTATTTAAGTTTTATAGTGTAATTATTTAATTATCATATAATGTAATATTTAATTATTCATTATTTAATGAAATAGTTATTAAGTGTTAATCTAATTTTTATCGTTTATAACATAATTTAAAAGTAATGTTAAAATATTACTAATAATTAATTAGGATTATCATTAAGGAAGAATAGATGATGAGAATAACGCTAGTGAATTTGAAAAGTTTTGCAAATGAAAAAATTCATTGCCATTATAATATACCAAATGTCACTTTCTTTTATTTCTTTCTATTTTGCTCTGTATCTAGGAGAATTTAGTATTTGAACCTTACCACTCTTTTCTTGTTTTATATGTTATACATAAACAATAAAATGATAACAGTTACAATCACGAATTTGCCTTTCTTATCACCACCGACAAATCCTTCTAATTAAATTGACAAACATATAAACCGATAGAGAATGTTAACTATAACGTACTTTGACAAAACTGTAAGCGTATGCCGAAAAGATACGGTAATAATTTCTGCGTGATCAAGTATCCAGTATAACGTAACTAAGCTACAAGCATATTGAGAATGTTTGCAATAAATAAAGCTTCAATCACTTTTATGGACGTTGACAAATGCGAGAAAAATTATTTCCGAGATCTCTTGAATAATAATTCCGAATACACCAAATAGCAAATAATTTCATTATAAACATTGATATCAACCATTTTATCTGAAACACATAAATTTTAAACAGAACAATACATTTCGATTACCGCACAAGAAATCTCTTTTCTCACTGATCCATCCATACAATAAAAGGTTATTTCTTTAGTCATAACTGCGATTAAAATACTTATTCCTTCTCTTTTGACGATCTATTCATTTTTCAACTACCTATTATATAAATTTGTAATCACAAGTCTTTTAACAACTCTATCGTTGTTACATATCAGACACAATAAGTGACAAATTTCCTTGTCATCAATCTCAACCTTATTCCTAAATGAATTTCTCTAATAATCACCACCATGGCATTAGTTGAAGTTGGTCGCAGTACACCCAAGACTATCAAACATTTTTAAACTGCATCTATTCATCTTTTCCATCTAGTTAAAGATAACGATAGCAATGTCCATAGCCCTCTCATATGGATGTCTACTCCAAAGTACTTTATATTTATATATTTATAATATAATATAAATATATAATATAAAATATTATATATTTATTATTATTCATTCAAATTAGTGAAATTACTCAAAGTTTTCTTATCAAGTAAAATTATAATTTTACATTTAGACTGAGATAATGTTTGCGGTCGTGAAATCAAACAGTTCTTAATCTTCGTCAATCACTCCTTCAATCCTTGAACCTTATCCAATATGGTTTGTATTCATTTAAACTTGCAGTTATTAACCGATACCTACGTTCAGAGGGGAAGAGAATGTGAACGCCATGAGGAAAACCTTCACAGAGCTGGAGAGAGCAGGCCTGAAGATTAACGAAAGCAAGATAAAGGTACTCATACAATCGAGAATAGAAAGAGAAGGCAAAATCTAACGTTTGGAGGTTGGAATTTTGAAGTTGTAAATGACTTTGTGTATCTTGGCACCACTACACCCAATATCCTGGACGAAATGAGAGAAATACGCAGAAGAATCACCAGCGCATATAAGACGTACTACCTTTTCAAATCTGGAAACGTCCATAAAAACACAAATATACAGCTTTATACGACCATTACAAGACCAGCTCTATGTTATGGGAGTGAAGTTTGGACGCTGTCACAAAAGATCGAATCAAACCTTAATGCTTTCGACAGAAAGATTTTGCGTAGAATGTACGGTCCGGTCAAAGAAGACGAACAATGGAGAATACGATACAACAATGAGCTATACAATCTCTTTAAGGAAGCTAGCGTTTCAACGTATATAATACTGCAAAGACTCAAATGAGCGGGATATATCATATAGAAAGAATGGACGTTTCAAGAGTGCATCTAAAGGAACTTGAAGGCAGACAACCAGTGGGAAGACTAGGTGATCGCTGGCAGGATAAAGTGGAAACAGCTGCACGAACCATACTACAAGTGCATACTTGGAAAGCGATAGCGAAGGACCAAGGTCCGAATTGGACTGTAGTGCCATTGGATGAATGGAAATGTTAATTGAATTTGCTTTTAAACGGTTTTTATTTTATACTGATGTCTCAATTCGATATTAAGAAGCTGTGATTTAGATCACATTGTCATCAACTCAACCTCAATCGTTACGGGGTTGAATAAATAAAAAATGGTTAAAAATACGTTGGTATTGGTGCCATAAAAAATTAAGAAAATTGAGTGTTTGTTTCAAGTACGATATCGCAAATATAAACACTATTCAAAAAATATTTCTATTATTATTATTATTGAGGCGATGGTGATAAGAACCGGATGTCGTACACTCTAAAAAACACGAGCTACTGGAACAATGAGTGAAAAGATAATGAGAAAATGTTCGAGATGTTAAATGTTTTAAGAAAAATAAAGAAAGTTATGGCTAAAAATGATCGTTGGAAATGCGAAACCAATAACACATCACCTTGCATTAATAAAGATTGTTTCAGTGATCATCATTCCTAACATTTTTTACTAAAATGATTTTTTTCCTTAATGTTACACGACGTCTTCTCATGTTACAAGCAAAACACTTAGTTTATCAATAAACAAAATCTCTACAATTTAAAATGAAAATTGTTAATCATATATGTATGTGACAAAAATAAATAGACTAACAGAAATTTGCTAACTGATTTCATTATTTTAATTTTATCATATCTTATTTTGTGTTAACCATTCAACAAATGATTTTATAAAAAAATGTTTAAAAAAATTTTATCGGTAATCTATGATTGAAGATTAAATTAATTAATACCTAGAATTTCGCGTTTTATCGAAAACGAAAAATACTACAGTAAATCAATGTACACGACATAAAACAGGTCATGTAAACATAAAAGCCGGTAACCTAAACGAGTTCACGTTGTCCGCATAAACACCCCCAAAATAATTTCATCCCATCCCAATTTCACATAATTACAGACTCCCTTTAAAGCTACAAAAACGAAAAGAAAAAAATTCTTTTCTATTTTTTTTTACCTCGGACTTTTGTGAGGAGTTGCAGTGGCGGTTGTGGTCGTCATCTTTCCAAATGTTGATATCGATCGGGTTCTTGCACATGCACTCTGACGATGCCCGCCTTCAGCACTTCTCAGGTTCCGATAATTCACTGAATGCAAGGGGGTTTGTCGTTACGTCCCTGCTTTAAACCCCCTTCACTTTTAGATTTACACATGCGCGGCACGCGACAAAACCGATCAACGAAAATTTATGTGCATCCAAATTTTACTATTTCTAGTATTCTATTATTTCATAGAATCAAGAATAAATTAAATTTTTAATTCAGCAAGTCGTGCTGTGAACGCGATCTTTCTGCGCTGCAAGATCGTGTTGATTGTCGATTGAATTATAACCAACCTGCGTTTGTAATGTTTTGAAATGGTGTGGGAATCGGAACCAATTTACTGGTTCTGACGGTTGTTATTTTGTTGATGGAGGTGTGATTTGTTTAGTATTAAAAAGTTTTAAGCGCGTTTTTGAGATAAAAATGTTTAAATATTTATATAGTGATAAAATGAATTGAGATGATTTTATAGTAATTGTTCTAATTCATTTTTTGTCACTAATATTTTTATTAAGAAATATTCCCAAATTTCAAATATACCCCAAAAGATAAATAGTAATTAAAACGAATTACCGACAAACGTTATTATAGAAATGTTAATACTTTCACACGAAATGCACGATCATTGACGAGGTTGCCATAAACTGACTGTGATATTTACCGCATAATCAACTTCCATTATAATGAAAGCGGATTGTTATCATTATCTGTTGACCTTCCTGCATAATACCGTCTCTTTTTAAATACAATGTGGCTTGACCTATTGTGCTCAATTTGCATATTGTAATGTGTTCATCTTTTATAAAAATCACATACAAACATTTTTTAAATAACTAAGATGATATAAATATCCCTTACAATTTTCTTTTATATTCTAGTTATGTTTATAACTTATTAATTGTACCAAAACTAAAAAATAATACAGTAAAACCTCGATATAACGGACTAATACGGGGAAGGGAGTCTTCAGACGCACTGCTAAACCCGAATGTTTCTAGTTCTAGAGTTAGTGTTAATTCTAGTTTTAGTTCAATACAAAATATACGACAATCTACTGCTGAATAACTAACACTAGCATTAGAATTAACACTAGATATAGAACTAGAAGCATTCCGGTTTACCCATCTTAAGAGATGTACGGCTAAACCCGAATGTTTGTAGTTCTAGATTTAGTGTTAATTCTACTTTTAGTTCAATTAAAACATACAACAATAATATTATAACAGTATTATAACAAAATTTTTATCCGTTATATCGACATTTTACTGTATTTGGATTAATTTCAAATTTAAAAACTGCAATTTTCGATATAATAAAATTAGCAAATAATAATTTTATTTCTATTAAATTTTCAAAACCGCAACGATTATAATTTCTAACACGGACGATAAATTAAACTTCCGTCACTTGCAATTGACCCGATTTCGTATTGTTTATATGGTTTTCTGGCACGGAAAGTCCAAAACTTTGCAGTAAAGAAAAGTTACACGGCTATAATCATTGATTATGTTCATGTGCGTGACCTGCCACAACAAAACTCACCTTTTATTTCCTTGATTCCCATTATGATTTATTCGATTCACGATACTACGTGCACATTTCTATATTTATACCTCGATATTTTTAAATATCACGCAATGTATTATAAAAAAACAAAGTATTTATTGTTGATAAATACTAATAAACGATTAAATAAAAAAATACATACCTAAATTAATTCTGGGTGCTGATTGAACACAACCACTTGAAACTCTAATGGAAGTTTTCAACTCCTTCTTGGAGGTTTTAAAGTCGACTATTAAATATTTATTGTATGGTTAGAATGCGTATGGTATGAAGTACTAACTATTTAAACAATGCCTTCATATATCGATCGAAAACAAACTCCTTTTTTTTCGTGCTCCTTATCTTCGTTAACTTTAAACACTTCAAGTGTAACTGTTGTTAATAAAAATGCGGTCATCCTATATATAAGAAATGAACAATATGTACCAAATAACAAGCCCATAAATGTGACGAAACAATAAAGAATAATAACTGGTTCATAATTTCATGGTTATCCTTGGACTCATCCTTTTGTAATCAGATAAACCATCGACTTTATCACAATTTTATTGTATTACACTGTTTGTGTAAGTGAATTTTTAAGTGAATCATTTGGTGTTTCTTAAAAAAGGTGATTAATGCCAATAACATTCCATTAACTTTTTTACTATTTTGTTTGCCAATTTCTCACACTTATCGATTTTATTACGTACGTTGCCGATTAGAACTGAGTGAAACCATTCTTGACACACACAACTTGTACTATATGAACAACTATGATGAGTTTGAACTTTATGCTGACCTCTCTAATTTATCATAACTCATTATATCATTGACTCCCCCGTATTTTATTATCCATAGATGGATAAGTTGAATTCGTGTAAAAATATTTTTGTTTTTATTACATTCTTATATAAATTGTTAATTTATGTTGTATCCATTTTTTTAGTTTAAGGTCAACTACAATAGCGTTAACTAACCTTAATTGTTAGGAAGTTACATCGAAGTTTATAAGTGGCTAATGGGAAAATAGCTGAACCACCGGATAAAATGGTTAAATGCATTATCAACTAATAAAATAAACGATACTACATCGATTCTAATAACATCGTTTAACACGATATTTATTCTTTATATCGATGTTTTGTCCTAAAAATGAAGGAATTTGGAAGTGATTTGGAGTTTTTTTTATTAGTTCATTAGGTTTTATAATGAGTAATTAACTTCAGGTTCAGTTAATTTAATGTTAATACGATGCTATGAATGAGATAGCAAGAATCGATATCAACATGTATACTACTGTATACTAAAATAAGTATAAAGGCAAAATACTAAATAGGCTAAGTTAAACGATGAGAGCAAAATTGTTTCTACAACAGTACCTAATTCTTTCAACATTTCTTCCTATAGCATAATCCAAATTGAAAGCTCACTGCAATGTAAACATATAATAAATTTATCATTTTATTTTAAAAAATACTTAAAAAATGAAGCAGAAATGATAGTATTCAACAGTACTATTTGGAATGCTATGAACAAAATAATTTCAATTTGATTTGTTTATGGTTAATGAGAAATATCATCGATTAAAATTAATATTATTAAGTTTCATCATTTGAATCAATTATGAAAATGAATTAATCGTTTCCGTTAAGACAAATATTATCGCAACGTTTTTACAAAATATCATACTATTAAAAATATCATACTAAATATCATCAAATATCATACTAAATAATAGATCGTTAAGATTATTTTGCTTAACCCACTCATAAAGGATTTTTGCTAATTGAATAACATTATTAAATACAACACTTCTTTATGTAAAAATAAACGTATCAGTTTGAGAAGTGTTTGATAGTTATGATTTTTTAGAAAATAATCTACAACATCTTTGTTGACCTATTTTCTTAAAAGAAAAGCTATTACAGTTAAAATGTATATTATATTTTCGTTCAGGTTTAATTTTGAACTTACCATGTAATAAGTAGATGAAAATTGTAATGTTTATATAAATATAAATGACTAGATTGCTTGATAATGCAACCCAACCCTATCCACCATTTTATAAAACGTTTCTGGTAAATATTACAACCACATCATCAATGCTAAATAAAATCTGTATCTTGGTATTGAATTCAATTCAAAATAATCTTGTTTATGAAAATTTAGAAATACAAGTCATAAGAAAACATGAAAAAATGTTTTAATAGATGGATTATTTGTTAGTTTAAAAACCATAAAAATATTAATAAGAAAATATAAAAAGTCACAAACCTGAAATCTAATTCTGGAATTGATATTCACTTAAATGGTTACTAAAAATTATTTGAAAAAAAATGTTCACACTCTGACTTGAGTATCACACCCTGAATGTTCAGAAATGACTTTGATTCTAAAACACATTTTACCTCTATTTTAATAGTTATATCTAACCTCTGATAAGATGAATAGTGAATATGTATAATCTACTTAATCTAATATTGTACTATGGATTAGTATTTCTATCACGTACAACACACAATTTAAAAAATAACTTTATTCTACCACATTTTAATGTTGTTCTTGGATTATTTATTTATCAATTTGTTTTTTACTATTTTTAAAATTTTTATAACAAATACTCCCCCTTCCGTTGCAAATACGCAAAATACTCAGAAAATTATTGTATCTTAACATTTACAAATAAAAAATCGATTTTGTACTGAAAATACAAAGCTCATTTTTAGTTCAAGTAAAAATTCATTTTGTACCATACAAATTCTTTCAGAACCATCAGGACCATGAACTCTTTTCAACGGCGATTTAGGCCTGCAAGATTTTAGGTAAAGTATATCTTCTTTCTACTCTTATAAGAATATCGCTTGTTGTCTACTCTTGATCGTCGTGTCTTCCCTCCCATCTTCCATCTATCACCACGATTTAGTTTCAACCTCTCCATTATTTCAAGAGTTGCTCTGTTCACCCATCCTTACTTTTCACATGATTTCCATTACATCGCGTTTCGTCTAGGTAGAAGATTTTCCATTCTATAAGTCTTGGCTTTCTATAAAGCCAGCTGCGTATTTGTTGTTGACCATCTTAAAGTCGATCTATAAAAATGAATACACAAATTATGCTGAAGACAATGGTTAATTTACACAACATGTATCTGAAAACGACACATAGTATGGATCCGGTACATAACGTGTTGAAGATTTAAATCAAAAAAGCTATTATTGAAACTACTAATGACAAATGCACAGGAGATGTTGGAATAACAATCGAAATTTTAAAAATTGTTCCGTAGAAACTGGTAAAAGGATTCCAAAACAGTGAAAAAGATCACAAATGATCACAATTCATAAAAAAGGAGATAAAACGAATATAAACAATTATTGCCCAACCAATCTTAGATGAAATATACATATAAGCATTTTTTAAAGGATACAAAGAAAAGTTAAACGTGCGCCAGAAGAGTATCAACATAGGAGCAAATTTGCTTTCGAAAAAAGAAATCAACTTCAGGCGATTAAACAGATTATGGAAAAATCTGTTGAGTACAACTTTCGGTTCTACATGGCCTGTAGAAATTTTAACAAACCCAGGATCTATGGAAGGCGATGAGAAGAGCAAATGTCGAGATAACTTATATTCAGCTGATAACTATAGGCTCCTGAGGAACTATACACAAGTAGCATTGGCAGATGAGTAAGACAGGGAGATCCACTATCACCAGATTTGTTTAGCTGCTTAATTAGAAGCATAATGGAAGGTCTTAATTATGTGGAAAGAGTAGCCTGCAATTTACACATAATATTGTCATTTTTATAAATAAATACGTTCCAGTTACAGGATCAACAAAACAAGTTTGTTAACTTTGGTAGAAAAACTGAGTTAAACATAAACCTGCAATAGATCAAAATTGAAACGAGGGCGAATCAAATATTAATCGGACTTTTCTTCCGATCTTGATATATGTTGGGTGGTGATGTAAAATTGAGTGGAGCAAATCGGTTCGACAAATTGACTGTTAGTAACATCATGTCTGAACAGGAGGTTCACATGTCTATTGAGCAATGCATTATTATTAAACTTTTGTCGCGGGAGGGCGTAAAACCTGCCGAAATTGTACGTCGACTAACTGCACAGATCGCTGAAAAAATGCTTTCAAGGACCCAAGTCTATAACTGGCACAAAAAATTTGCCTATTCCAAATGCGATTCTGCTCCAGACAAGTCTCGGCCACGCACAGCTGCATTAACCCAAGAAAAATTGAATAAAATTCATTGGTAAATACTGGAAAATCCACCCTACAATGCCGATCTCTCGCCGTGTAACTACCACACGTATGGGCCACGCAAAGAAGAACTGGGAGGTCATCAATTTGACCTCGTATATACATATATATATATACTGATAATTATAATATTACTTATGTAGAAGATTATTCATACTTAGGGTAAATGTATCTTTTCCCCGCAGACTAAAAAAAGGGATTGACATTAGAATATATAAAGCTTGGGAGAAATATAGATCGCTGCAAAGGGCATTCAAAGGTGAATTAAATATAGAAACGAGTAGAAAAATATTTGACATGCGTATAAGCCGAAAATTTTTTATCAATGTTATAGTTAGCACTCCAACGAGTGATCTGTAATCTTATTCTCACCAACAATTTTTTTTCCACAACAAATTCAACATTGTGAAATAACTAACATCAATTAATTTTTCAGAACTGACCATAAGGCATCTTATGGAAACTTATGCAAAGTCACAGACATTCTACTCTTTATGTCAAAAAGGTGAACATTCAAGATCCTTATTAATACTGTCGTATTAAATAGATATCTCCATATACCGGGTGAGGCATTTAAATTGAGACAACCTTATAACTCATAAACCATCAATTTTATAGAAATAAGTTTCAGATAAAACTTTCATCATATAAAGGGGGAAAATATTCTGTATGGTTTTCATTGTATTGTTGAAACGCCATCTAGGTCTTTCAATTTTTAAGTAAGTTTTTTTAATTGGATACATATATTTTTGTCATCACTATGCTATTCTCCATGACAAAATAAATAGCTTTTATTTGAAAAAAATGTTTACCACAATCATCTTATAATCAGAAGTTTTATCCACACTTATGAACCGTAGAAAGTACCACTTTATCCACCAGTGGAATAATGAAAAATACAATCTTAAATCAATCACATCCTATTTATTATTTATATTAACATTAACATTTATATTAATAGACATTTCATTCTTTGATTTGTCATATTTTACTTCCTTTCCATTAATAATCAGCTTGTAATTGTCATCGCTTCCAGAACGCATAGTGCCTGTCGAAGTTTTTGAAAAATCTGTAGAAACAATGGACGTTTCTTCTAGTAAGGAACGACTAGTACCAGTAGAACCTTGGATTTTTCTTGCTATATCAAGCTTATTACACATAAAATCCTCGATATAAGTTTCTGCTATGCCTTTATTGACCAGTAAAGTTTTTGAAGTGCGCCTCATACAATGGCCGCTATAAGCTTTTGCATTTGCCAGATTCAAAAACGAAGCAACTGTTGAAGGAACTTTCGACAAAGTGTTAATTCCAACAGATTGTGAAGTACATTTTTGATTAGCGTATTTTTTTAAAATACGCTAATCTCACAAATGGGGCTACAAATGGGGCGAAAATAAATAGCAACAATTCAACACCTCCAAATGTTTTTTTAGTTAATTGCAATGATTTTTTTAAAATACGCTAATCTCTATAATCTCTCATTGAATAGCTTCTTCGGATGTAAAGACATGTATTTTCTACATGTCTCCACAGTATAGATAGAGAATCCTTCTTCTATAGTTGTAAATTTTCGTGAAATACCTGTCTTGGTATCTGGTATCGAAACAATCAAATATGCACCCCTATCTTTTACATCACTAATTTTCAAATTAGTCAGTTCACAGCATCGACAAGCACCAGACACCCTCATTATTAGCGCAACCTAATATATTTCAAAATTTATTATATATAATATCCAAAAGGTTAAGAGAGATTACCTTGATTATTAAATATTCTTTATCGCAAGCCCTTGTCAAAAACTCTTTGACGTGTTTTCTTTCCAATACTGCAGATTTCTTCGCCTTGTATCCTCTTGACTGATTCTTGAAATAGGCCATGAGCTTACTATATGCTTTCAGCATCGAAACCTCTTCTTCAAATTTAAGAAATACGATAGTAAGACTTTCTCATTTATTGTTATTACCCCCCGTTTTTCTTTTCATTAATTAAACTCGGAAAATACTATTTCGTAATGTTCCCTGGACTTTGCAGGCAATAATTGGACAGTTGCTTCTTCGCCTTCCTCAAAAATTATTTTGGGAACATAGTCAGTTTCTTTTTTAATCTTTTTTATCACCAACTTTACCTTTACAACCTTTACAACTTTCGCACTTTTACAAATATGTTGAAATATGTTACAAATGGGGCGAAAATAAATATCCTCCCAATGTTTTTTTAGTTAATTGCAATGATTTTTGAGGTGACAGCCGGTGTCAGAGTGAAATGTCAAATCATTTTTTGATAACATCAGATGAAATTGTGGCGATTCTGATTCTAAATGAGTGTGATTGTGGATAAAACGTTGTATTGCATGCGTGTTTTAGATGCATTTTATTCACTTACGAAAATTAAACGCTCGAGCTTCACTCTCGCGTTTAAACATTCTTCCGTGAATAAAATGCTGTCTAAAACAGTTACTAATAAATACCTATTATTTAATGAATATTACGTAATAATAAATTACATAATAAAAATTGAAAGTAACCAGCGAACACACACATTTTGACATATCTGCCAAAATATCCTTTAGCTACAAATTCATTAGTTAGTTTCACTTAAAAGGCATAGTGTACGTCACCGAAGTTAATACTGATCAAGGATTGCGAAATCAGAAACAAACAGCTGCGAGAGACAATCCGCCAACACCCTGGTTTAGGCCACGCCATCATATCATCTCCAAAGCGTGCACTCTTTGCTTCCAGAAATCATTTTACACAGCAACATCAATCTATCTCATCTGTTTAGAACTGATACCAGTGTTTCGTTTGCTCACGTCTTTCTAATTGCAAGAGTTGCCTATACAAATGATGCATGGTGAACTTTAGTAACGAGATGAAAAATGACGAATGTACGGATCACACAATGTTGAGGAAAATGTAGAGAACATCAAAAAGAATCAGATAGAACTCCGACGAAAAAATGTCAGGCAGCCTTCCTCTGTTTCGTTCATCTAACCAAAACGTTCGACAAAGTAAGGATAAAAGAATTAGAACAGGGCAAACTTTACGAAGTATGTAATGTACACTATGGTTACACTATGAATGATTACAAAATCAAGATTGAGTGCTACGCAGATGATGGCTGATCCTCATGGCTGATACTGAGGATGGCATACAGTAGTTAGACAGGTATTTAACATTGCAGCAGAGGAAGTAAATGCTGAGGAACTTAATACAATTGCGAAATCAGATACAAACTAATGCCGAGATAATCCGCCAACACTAGTGGGACATCGTGGATTCGGCGAGCCAAATTGTGTATATAAAATATTGGAAACAACTTGGAACACTTCTTTTGATTTTTAAAATCTTATATGTATTCCTGATTTCAAAGTAAATTGCATGGATATCTAGGAAACTAAAAAAACTTTTGCTACAATTTTCTTCATCTATTACTCATTAGATTATTTGTCATGAGGAATAAATCCCCAAGTTTATGCGTATACGGTATAGGTTGAGAATCACTCTGTATAATCATACTCTTAAAATACCTAATGATTATAAATTAATCTTGTAATTATTTTGACCTTATAAATGTTTTGTATTTTGTGGTGCATTATTATTCTCTTGAACACAATAACCTTGTTGTGCTTATCATCTTGATTAACCTATTAATATTTAAGAAAATATCACTTTTATTGAAAACAACATCCTTGCTCCATCTCTCGACAACTCTAGAAATTAAAAAGATTAGTAACAGATTTCTACATATAACAACATTATTGAATAATAAACTTTAAAAATTAAGAATTTAGGACCACTTTTTCCATCTCCTTTTATTTTTTTTTATAAATAAGATCTTTTTCTTATTTAGATCATATTGAATCAATAATAAATAAGCTTTAAAAAAACAATGGATTTGCTTACATCAATATTTATTGTACAAAAGTTTAATTTAATACTACATAATTTAAATAATATAACATTCATAAGAGATGAATATCGCATTTAATTAACATCGTCCACAAATATGTTATTATACTTAAATTCTAAATCCTAATTAAGTACACACATTTCTATTACAACCATCATTTTATTATTACCCTTCGTATGAAAATTTTTAAATATTGTGATTTTATTTAAAATAGATAATACATATTGTATTGTTAGGCCAGTATAATTATTATTTATAACTTTATGACATACTACAATTATCAAATCTTAAAAATGTTTATTATAGAGGAAATCGAGGATTATGTTGAGTTATAATTTATATGGAATGTAGTTGTTTGGCACGAAAATAACATGCAACGATTAAATTTATTGTTAAACCGACGATATTTCGCTTTTTCTTGAGAACCATCAGGCGTTTCTCACGTGTGTTATTGTTGTTGTTGGTGTATTAGTTGGATGAGATAATTTTGCCGTTCTTCTATTTGGCGCTTCATCCGAACAACTAAATGTTCGAAATAGGGTATTTCTGAAGTCTTCGGAAAATAAACAATAAATATAAAACGTAATCGAGTAATTAGTAATTTCTAATAAATTTGCCAATGCTCTGAACACTTGATAGGCGTAAGACTGAAGATTATTTTCGGATAATGTAACGTTTAAAATAACCATTGGTGAAATGCACACTAAAAATAAAATGCTTGTTGATCCTAATAAAAGAACAAGTCGTCGTTCTTCAGCAAATTTCCTAGGATCCTCTTCTCCGGATGTTGTTCTATATAAAGTCATTTTCCTTCTTTTTTCGCAAGATTTTCTATACACTAATAATATCCTAGCATTTAATACAGCTAAGAGTATAATTGGAATAACCTTAAATATCAGTTCTATAGCTATAGTATAAGCTTTAAATAATTTATGATTAACCATATCATTAACATCTTGTCTTCTGTATAAAGTTTCGCCGGTTGATTCTATTCTACAGGGAACGATTTGGCTGCGAAAAACCGCCGGTAAATATACAATAAAAGTTGCCATCGATATTAGGCAAACGACCCTTTTTGGCGGTCCTAAACAAGGTCTAGCATATCCGGGATGACAAACGCTCACATATCTTTCGAGCGTTAACGCAATCAGCATCAAAACTCCAACTCCCAGACATCCGTTGCCAAGAAATAGTTCCAAATGAGTGTGATAAAACGCTAGTATTAAGTTGTCCCAATTTCCAAATTCTTCATGAACTAAAACTCGCCAAGCGAATGGTACAGCAAAAAGGATTGCTAATAATGCCGCTGCGGAATAACCTAGAATTAAAAAAAAAGTGTTAATAAAAATCCTTAAATGCTACAATTTTCTTAATTTATGCATGTAACAAAGATGCAAAATAACCCCTAAAGGATTGTTGGATTTTATAGTATCTTACGTATCAGTAGTTAAACTCGTCGTTGAAATGCGTTAACCGAGATTATACAACCCCTTTCATAATGAACCCTATTTGAACGTCCCGAGTTTGCGATTTGTTTTATGGTTTTCGGTAAAGGCTAGGTAACGCCTCGTATATTTTATCGTTACGTGGTGATGCAGGCGTCGGAGCACGTGCACTTTACGCGTCGAATACATAAAATGGTTATATGAAAAATGTCGGGTTAAAGTCATTTACGGGATAATACCGTACTTGCCGTTTATATTTTACAATAAATCGTTTAAAACAGCACTCTGAAAAATAAGAAGTTGAAGTAAATGTGAGATATAAAAAAATTGTTTTAGTAGAAAATATAATTAATAAAATGTAAATATCTTTAGTAACTTATTATGACGCTTCGTCATTCCTGGTTTTGCTTCTCCGGTGATATTGAGGTCTTTTTGTGTGTATTGCACCATCTTGTACATTCTGCCAGTCACAACTGATCCATTCTTGATGACGCGATTGATAGATGTTTATTTCTGCATATTGGGTTGCAAAGTACACTTGATATTCTTGTTGCCTTTATGGCTTGCTTTATGACACTGCCCTTTAGATCCCCATATGTATTGATTTGTATTCTGAGATAGTCGAATTTGGAATGATCTGCTTTTGCACTAGAACTTTGCATCGATCTTCATGTTTACCTATATCATTACATGTTTCGTAGAATGAGTTATATTCCATCCTCAGATTCTGCCATGATGATGGTGTCGTCTGTATAGCACACAACCTCTATTGTTGTTCTTCCTAGTATAGGTATATCCGTCATTTACTCCATCTAGGTTTGTGTTCTGACTTCTTCTTTCAGGTCTCCATTGCTAGTGATTCAACCGCATGACCTGATCTATGGTACGATTATAAACCGCTAGTTTACACCTTCTTGTTTCATTGCGTATTCTGTATTGAGATTTCCATATTATACATCTCCACCGTTTCTTTTTTCAAATTTAAATAGCAACCTTTGGAGGTAACATATGATCCATATATCTCTTTCGCCGACTCTGCACCCTCTACCACCACGCGTGTGTCTCTTAACTGTTTGCGCAAAGCTCAAAATATATTACATTTAGATTTAGGACGTTCATAAATTTTGTTTGATGTAAATCGCATATTGTGGATTTCACAACATTGCATTGAAATGCATTGGATGGTAGGTCGTTACATAAATCTCCAGAACATTTTCCAGTCACTATGTTAAGAAGTCTATCAAATATTACACCAATGCAGTTATAATTCATGTAATTCCATTATTTTGTAGTAGTATTTGTTAACCTTCAAATATCTGTGAATAGTAGCCTCCAATCAATGTGCACTACTTGTTATAATGTGCACTACTATGCATACAGGAATTAAATCAACGCTAAAAGCTATGTTCACCGTGTCCACCTCTATTTTGTTATCAAATGTTTAATTTGATTTCAACTGATCGGCCGAGAAATAACTCATATTGAACCTAGTATATCAAATACAATATTTGATTCGAAAAAAAAACTCTAACTTCTTAAAAACATTGACAATAATGATATTGAACAGTAATTAGCACACAAATTTCTGGTACAGTTTTTAAAAATTAGGACACAAACAATCAAACACACAACGTAGAGAAACCTATCACTACTTTTTTCGTCATCTATGACGTCAGACGATGGAGAGACAACCTGATGAAAAGTAATAAGTAATAAGCAAGCATCATTTTTGACAGTAACACTCAGTACTTCTATAGAAATGATTACTTATGATTAATATAAAATTATTATTACAAAAGTTCGTTTTTCATCATCTTTATTCATCAAATCTCATTCTTTCTAATCATATAGTTAATGATTTAAAATGTAATATAAGATTTTTCATGATAAATGAAAACGCGAAACGAAATGTTCAAAATCTATGTATTGGATCAAACGACGTCAAGCAAAGGTTGATGATAAGAGCAATCATCTCATCAGGATAAGACTATAACTATGATACTTTTGCTTCTGATTTTTCTACTAATTTTCAAACTTTCGTTTATAAATTAGTTGCTTTTCTGTAATCTTGTTACCTTATAGATTTTCCTTGGTTTTCTTCATTCACCTCTATATTTTTTTCCAGTATGGGTATCATGCTTAGTTCCATTTGTATTGTATCGTATTTTGTTTTCCTGTCGTATTCGTCTGCTTGTTTGAGTCTTCTCATAATGTTTCCTTCTAGTTCATTTCCGATATTTTCGTTCCTCGCTGTCCATATTTCCATCCCGTATGTGATTTGCGGTTCTATTATTTTCTTAATCAATTTGTTTCTTTCTTCTTTTCCTACATATTCCTTATTGATTAAATGATGCAGTTTTCCTCAAGTTCTATTAAATAGTGCCTTTCTGGTTTTCCCGTATCTTTTGAAGTTTTTCAACTTGTCGAAGGTTATCCCCAATTAGGTAATAGCATTTTTTGTTTTTACTACTTTGTTTACAACTTACATTTTTCATATTTTGATTCATGATATTACGCAGGCTGGTCCAATTTTCTGCTCTTCTCATCGTCTGTTAACAACCCATCCCTTCTGTTATCATAGCGTTATCCTCTGCATATTGTAAAATTCTTCATTCTACTTTTCTGGGGATATCGTACACTATTATGTTGTATAAGATGGGGAGAGTAGAGATCCCTGTGTTAGCCCTAGTCCGCCACTCTTTCAGTGGAAAGCTCTTCTTTTATCCTTCTATCTTGTAGGAAGGATGCCGTTATCTGTAGCAGATGTGTCGGAGTTCCTATTTCACGCAGTTTGTGAATGGGTACTTCTCGCCACTTCCTATCGTACGACTTCTCCATATCCAGCAAGACTACATATAGGTTCCTTCGCTTTCTTTTTGCGTTTCCTTTTTTGCAAGGTTTCCGCTTGTATAATAATATAATTTCTTCTCTGAATACGTATTGACTTTCGGGTATTATTTTCTCTTCCTCTATGAAGTCGTTGATGTCTTCTTTTATTAGCATGTCCAGTATTTTTCCCATGGAATTTAGTAAGTTTATTGGTCTTCTGTTTTTGGGCTTCGTTGCATCCTTCCCTTTCTTCTGTACTATTATTGACTCTTTCCACGTCTTTGGATAAAATCCTTCTTTGGTAATTCTGTTGAATACTATTTCTATCATTGACCATCATTGCCTTGATGACGTTTTCTGGCGCCTGTTGTAGGGCTTCGTTCCTGATTCCGTTGGGTCATGGCGATTTCTTTTTCGGCAGTATTCTAATTATATTCTCTATTTCTTTTTGTTGTCATTGTTTTGGTGTTCCTCCTTCTCTTTTGTCGATCTTTTTCGTCTTGTTTGACCGTGTCCGTTGTTTGGCGATTTGTGAATACTTCTTCGTATCAATTCTTCTGCGATTTCAGCATCTTTATACGGGTATCCCATATACTGTCTTGTAGTGGTTGTGAGCATTGTTTTTGTCTTCTGTATGTTCTGGCGACCTGCCACGGTCCGTTGGGTTGTTCTTTCATACCGTTGATTTTTTGATCCCACCACCACTTGTTCTTTTCCAGGATCATTTCTTTTACTTCCTTCGACTTTCTATTTAGTGCCTCTTTGTCTTCCTGCTTTCTGTGTTTCAGGTACATTTGTTTCGCCCTGTGTTTTTCCTATACCAGACGTTTTTTCTCCGTCGTTAGGAAGTGTCTGTTTTTCTGTTGACACTGTTATTATTTGTTTTTCTATGCTGTTATCCCTGTCGTGTACATACATTTCTAGTATTCCGCTATATTTCTCCAAGAATGTAAAGTTTGTTGTCATTTCTGTCTTCAAAGGCAGAAATGTTTTCAGTAGTTGTGGGTATTATAGACATTTTTTGGATAACCCTGCTAGAAGATATCTGGAAATAACGTCGTATATTGATGCTTAAAGCATTCTTAGTAATTCCTCTTTAAAAAAGTTCCGATATTTATCACCAAGGTACGAAACGGATTAATTTGGTTCAACAACATTCTCTAAAAAACAATATCTCCATAAACAATAGCTACAAACTTTTTTTAGTGTCCTGTACGCTCCCTTCAATAGCAACTGTGTAAGAATACTAACTAAAAAAGAACTAGATCAGTCTCTATCAAGAAAACGCTTAGCATAAAGTATCATCGATAGGTTTTCAACATTTGCCATAAATTTTTAATACTCGCTATAAAATTTTATGTTAATAGGTGCTATAAGGTTTACTAAATAATAAATTTAGTAATCATTATTAGTTCATATAGTAAAGTGGGTAATATGTAACGATATCAATCGTACTTATTTCTAATAGTTGAATAACAGTTTTTAAAGTAACATTGTGCAAAAATTCTTAGGGTGTTTCCATTAATTTTATGTAAATACTAATTAATACTTTTAAAGGCATACTTAATGAACGCGCTTCTGTCATAATCATTAAAGTCAGGAATCAAATTTATGCTTTTCGCATAAATTCAGACGAAAATTCAATTTACTAACTTTAAAATATATCATGTGTGGAGCTATGTATCTACACTGTATACTTAAATACTGCTTCACTTATCATAAGTAGATTATAACGTAAAGATAAACTCTCTATAACTTTTGTTATAAAAACTATAAATAATATTTTATAGATTCTATATAAAATTAATCATCATGAACTTGTTTACTAACAGATCTTAATAACTAATTGCTTATTATCTCTTAGTCGATAAAATCGACTCATGAAGTATACGATTATGATCAATGAAATGTCTTTGCGATACCATTATATTGAAGTATTAATATTTTGGAATCTTTTCATCAATAAAAATGATAATTTCCACCCCTACTTTTTATTTATTTTTTTCTGGTATAAAAACGATTGCTACAGATTTTCGTGTTCGAGGAGTCCGAACCCTCCATAACAAGTTGTACACGATCATAAATACCATAATAACCCCTTTTAGATATCATGAGCTTTCGGTTTCCCTTGTTATTTTATTATTATATCTTTTTTTCTTTTGTTTATCGTTTTTTTTTTTCTTTTTTTGGTTTTTATTCGAATTTTCATCTCGCCGTTCTTGCAAACAATAACCCGTCCGAAACCCCACCCAAGATTACGGCATAAACTTTACTCACGTTTCCGTATTATTGTGCGCCACACTGCGACGGGCTTATTCACCTCGGCAGTTTACTTCGGCGAAAACGTCTTTGTGGAAAGTCCCGAAACAAATCACAGCCCCACCGGTGGGATTCTCTTCTATACAGACGATCGTATGTCGTCTTTCGCGGATTTATTTTTCTCAGAAAACTTTTCATATAGCGGCAAAAGCTCTTTAGATTTTCTGATACGATAGTTTTGAATTTAGTGTTGCGTTTTATCCTAATCGATTTTATAGAGGAATATATTCGAGATGAAATGGAAACATTTATTCGATTTAATATTTATTTCAACTTTTAAGATATTAAGCTATACAGTAAAAACTCGATAAATATAAATGTTAGCTCTCATAGATAAACTCCAAAACGGGTTATCCTTTAAGTTGCTCTATTCCATGTTTATAGATAAACTCGGAGTATTCCTCAAGTTGTCTATACGATGTATAAATCAAGGACGGTAGTTCTAGTTTTAATTGTTATTCAGCGCTAGATTTTTTTCTACTCTTATTGCACGTAAAACAGAACTAACACTAGACCTAGAACTAGAACCAGTATTAGTTCTAATGCTAGTATTAGTTCTAGATTTAGTATTACCTAGCGTTAGATTATTGTATATTTTACATTGAACTAAAACTAGAACTAACACTAGACCTAGAACTAGAAAGTTTCTAATTGCACGTCTAGTGTTAGTTCTAATTTTAATTCTTTTTCAGCTCTAATGTTGTGGAACTAACACTATACCTGTAAGACAGTTAGATTCTACTGTCCTTGGTGTAAATATAAAACCAGGTACACTGAACGCAACGGACGTATATAACGGACTTTTGGCTATAACAGACACTTCCTTCCCCGTATTAGTCCGTTATATCGAGATTTTACTCTAATAGAATATAATTTCAAATTATTCAACATAATTTGAATATTGATTAAAATAGAAATCAAAACCATGAATACATTTTTATATTAAATATAAATAAGGGTTACCAGAATAAACTGGGGAAAGGCAAATGGAAAGCTTTTATGTAAATATTCCAATTTAACTCTCATCCTGAATATTAACTTTTTAAATTACGGGAATAAAAAATTGGACAGTAATAATTTCGTTTAATCTTAAATGAAATGTCATGTTCATCCCATTTAATTTATTTATAAAGTATTTCAACTTACCTCTCATATAAATGTATGCGGTTCCTCTCATATTTTTTCTTGTTAGAACAACCAGATTCAAAATATTCCCAATAACTCCAAGTAAACCAATCGCCGGTAAAGCGATTCCGTAGGAATACCGTTTAAGAATCTCGATTCTAGGATCGTCGAAGGAGTTGTTCCAGGAACAATTGTCTGCAAAGCATTCGTCGGATCCGTTCAAACAGGGGGCAATGGTATATTCTTTTGGGTAAAGGAAAGACATTTTTATTGGGATTTATTGCTTATATGGCCTTTTCCTATTCCTGATGCTATCTCCGGTTCTAAGACATGAATATTCCCTCGACAGTCGTATCTCCACGTGACCCGTCGTCGCATCGCTAAATGACGCCGATGCACGACCGGCGACCGCCCTTCCTCATTTCAGGTTTCATTTCCTGAAAGCAGACCGCATTCGTTATCGAATTGTGTTATAATATCCAATTTCATTGATGTTTTTTTTTTGTTACAAGAGTACGTTTAATTGAATGAGTTTTATAAAGCTGAACATTAAATCGAGTTTCTAATTTAAATTGAAAAATTGATGTAAAACAATTTTATGTTTAAAACGCCTTTTCCTTATAATAAATCAACGTTTAACACACGATTACCTTAGTAATTTCACTTAAATTCCGTTCGCTTGTAATCTCTTCCGACAAAACGAGCAAACGTGTTTCTCGCGCATAACTTCACAACTGCACTTACCTAAAGTGTTTGACGGACAAGAAATCTAATTGCAAGTTGTATTGAGTCAACACAATAAATGTATTAGTAACGGTAATTTCGTAGAAGTATTAATCAATTATCGATTTAAATGTGATTATTTAGTTTTTAACATGTAAATAATAAAAACTATAACCTTTTATTTAGTGGAACTATTATCATCAATATTAGTTGGAAATAGTTCATCGTAACAATAAATTATGCAGCGAAACCCATCTCATGTCATCAACACACGGTAATACATACACACCGAGTCATCATAAACGTCAGAAACAGCGGTACTAAATGGTGCAACCAAATGTGTTTTAATGTTTCAAAATATTTAATAGTCGCATACGAGTTATGCGCACTTTGCATTGCTAGCTGTAAACCGCTGCATTTGAATGGAATATTATCATATAAAAGTCGGTTACGCAAACTGAACTACTTATTTACAATCTTGCCCTGGAAAAAGAATTGAAATTCGGTCAAGTTATCATCAAGTTTTGTAGTACGACTCCGTTTGGATAGCTTTCTAGTAATTGAAAGCATTTGCATTCAAGTAAATTTTATTGAAAAGTAAGCCAAGTAGTAAACAGGTTGTTTATCTGTGTCACCATCGATTGATACAAAATTGGAACAATAGTGACTATTTTACGCAACAACTGAAACATCACTGCTTTATTGAAAATATTATTTCGAATTAACGTTTCAGTCGAACATTTTTGAGGAACATGTGAGGTTGTATTATTATGATTAGAAATTAATTAAATTAATATTAAATAAGTATTTAATAATAATCTATATAATATAATAATAACCATAATGTAGAAAGTGGATAATCTTATGTAGAAGAAGATTATGTTTATACATTATTTTTAGTTAATATTAGAGTTAGAAGAATTATTGCGAATAAACGAATGAAATAAAACTTGTACAAAAATTATATTTTGTAAAGGAATCAACATTAGAAAGGCATATCCATGAATATTATATACCACGAAAAACTGTTTTAATGGCCAATCAGCATATGCGAGAAGAATAAAGATGTATAGAGTATCAGAGTGCTAAAATGACTAGATCAAGATTGATGTCTCGTCCACAGAAGACTAGACAGAATAGAAAAACAACGAAAATTTATTACTATAAAAAAAAATGAAAGAAAACATGCTTTAGACTCAACACCACCCGAGGAAGAAAAATCACAGAAAGTTAATTGAAACACTTCGTACTACAAAAAACTTAGTAGATGTACGACCATCTAACTTTCTAACGTTGTTCTGAAAATCGTGGAAAATATAATTAATTTTTAATTAGCAATCATATTTTAGAATTCAGTAAAAATATATAGTTTGAGTAAATAAACCATGCTAAAGAACCTACACAGACATTCATTGAAATACCTTTAGATGTTACTTACGTCGTGAATATGAACACACAAGTAGTTTGCTATATATCATGTAATCTGAACTTTGTAAACTGATTGTTCGTTCGGATATCTTCGATAAAACGGAGTGCTATATTGGAGTCTTGTATACAATACTTTCGACTCACATTCCGCATTCAAAAGGGAAATTTTCACCTTATTGCTGTTCTCCACACTTGTTTACCTAACTCATATATCATGTCTTGACTTCAATTTTATAAATGTAATGATACCATCATCTCATCAATGATTAATATGTACTCTAGTTCTTATGAGATGATGATGTTAAGATAGCAGATCTCTAATCTAATAAACAATTTTCAAACTATAAAAAACCATTAGACAAAGTAAACCAACTATAAAGTTTTATTAGGATGTTAATATTCTAAAAATGATGATATTTCTTTAAAAATAAGTCGAAATTTTGGCACTTTTAGTAGTTTAGTTTCAAAGTCTTTTTGATTATGTATTATAATCGTTCTACATTCTAACAAAAAAAAAGATTCAAATTTGTAAGGATTTGAAGTAATTTAAATAAATCTAATGTTTTATACGCTATAACTTTATTATTTTAAAAAATACGTATTTTCGATTTGTGTTAATATTGGATTGAAACTCCGGTTTCCCTACTTTCATCTCTGCCCCTTAACAGCAACACCTAAATGTATAAAAAATCTGCTGTTTCACATGTCAATCATGAGATTGATTGCGTTTTATTTTCGCAAAATCCAAATCGATTTATTGAAAAAGTTTTATAAACGTTTTGTCAATTATATCGTCTATTTTTAATTGAAGATATCTGTTTTGAAAAATGGCTTTCAATTTTTGAAACGAAATATTGGATCGAAATATCTGACAAATTTTAAAACATTGTAGATTACCTTTAAAATTATAAGAAATCTTATTGAAGAAAATTGTTATTTTATGAACAATGTGTATTTTTAATCGAGGACTGTGTCATGTTCATCCCTACTTTTATTGTCTTCTTGGAACAAACGGTGTTTTAGTATCGATTTTAGAAAAGTCTTCCTTATTTGTTAACTTATTAAGTTTTGCTCCAAATTTACAAATAGCTCATGACAGCTCTGTAACTGGCGGCTACAGTCATTAATTAATTATAGGAAATACAAAAATACAGGTAAGCTACGCGTTAGAATGACAAATTAAAGAAATTTATATTGTTGTTACACTTTAACTAACTATGGAAAAATGTGAGAAGTCTTGGGAGGTTCCTAAAGAGATCTTGAATGACCCATCGTATAGGATGAGAACAACACTGTAGCAATTTCTTTTAACATTGGGAGGGCAGGGTTTCTTGTTTGGATTATCTTTGCAAACTATTTGGTGTTGCGACCCATCTCTTCCTTTAACATATGTGGGCGACGTGCCATGGTTTAATAATAGGTGTATAAATTTATTACAACGATCTTAGTATTACAGCATGAGTAATGGTATTCGATCGAAACAAATGAGTCGTTAATATTATTAAGATACTAACATAAATCTTAACCTTGTAATATTTCATTAATCAATGTCAATACCAATTCGATGAGAAGAACAGGTATTGCTTGATACAATGAAGAGTTTTATGGAGCAATTCCTGTAATACCACGTGATTGAAAAACACCTGGAAAATTTCACTTAGGTTGGCATAACCATGCATAACATTCTCGATTGTAACCCTTGATTATAAGGTGAATTATAAAATGTTTCATTACGAAACAACTTATATGTAACAAAATCATCATCAAAATCATCTATAATGAATAATGTATTAATTTAAGCTGTAAAATCGAGCTTCACAGTTATTTTTATTTATTATTTTATTTCAACCTGAATTATTAATACTAAAATAATAAAATTATTCTAATATACAGGGTGTCCCACGACGTGACTGCCATAACTTGGGAGTGTGTTGCTGGGATGATTTCAACTCAAAAATGTTTAATGAACATACACCCAAAACGCTATCGTAAACGAGCTACAAGCATTTGAAATTTGTAATAAGTAGTAGTAGACCATTTAAAAAGAAACAGCTTTATTGAATTAGTTGCTTAAAATATCCACCCAGTTGCTATATACATAGTCTAGCTCTTCTTAGAATTGAAGTGGTAGCTATGCTAACAGTCTCAGAATCAGCACAAATAGTTTCTGCGGCATTCATAATTCTAGCTACTAGTTGTTCTCTGTTTTCAATATTTTTTGCATAAACTAAACTTTTCAGTCTTCCCCATAAAAAGTAATCTAAGGGATTAATGTCTGGTGACCTTGCTGGCCCATGAACTGCTGAACCTCTTCCAATCCACCGGTTTGTATAATTTTGATTAAGAAATTCTGTTACTTGTCGACCAAAGTGTGGAGGTGCGCCATCGTGCTGAATCCACATTCGTAGTCTTACATTAAGAGGAACATCATCCAGTAATATTGGAAGATCATTTTCAATGAAACGTAAATAACGAATGGCCGTGAGACGTCCTTCGATTATAAACGGACCAATGAGGCGGTCATCAATAATACCACACAAAACATTCACCGAAAATCTATCTTGAAAATGGTATTTCCGAGTTTGTTGTGGATTTTCAAGTGTCAACAATGTGAATTCCTGGTGTTATTGATGCCGCTTCGGGTGAATGAGGTTTCATCAGTAAACAATATTATCCGACAAATCCTACGAAATAACAAGTTATCATTCACAGCCACCTGGACTTTTTAATAATAATTAAATCAACAGCGGTTACGATAGCGTTTTGGGTGTATGTTCATTAGACATTTTTGATTTGAAATCACCACATTCCCAAGCTATGGCAGTCACGTCGTGGGACACTATATAAATATGGTAGGTTTAGAAACAATTTGCCAGCAATTTTTATCACAATAGGTACATTTCCCATTAGTTTATTTAGTACTGTTATCAGCCGCCTTCTTCCCTTTTTTCAGGCATCACAGCATTGTCGCTTATTAGAACTACCTATATTACGATGTAATTTCAATCTGATCATTTTTCCATTGTATTTGGTAGAATGTAAGTTTACTTTTGTAGTTTGACTTAGGTATCCACATCACCTGTTTTACATTGTTGGCTGTAAGGTTAGCCCCACTTACTTTGCTTGGTTTAAATAAAGATCTTTTTTCTACCGACAGTCAGTTAATTTACGAACACGAAACCATAATTTACCTATGAAAACCATAATTTCTTCAGAGTTAGTATCTTAGCATTTGTTTATTCTATCTCACATTTGTAGTGCAGATCTTTTCTGCTGATTAGCGTAC